TGAGCAGTTCTAGAAAAGAATTATCTGTTCAAAAGCGTTCGAGTATTATTACTCTTGTTAAAGAAGGTTATTCTGTGCGGGAAATTGCGATAAAAACTAAAATTCCGAAATCAACAGTGCATGATACAGTGAAAAAGTTAACAGATACTAATATTTTTGAATATAAAAAACGAACTGGACGGCCCAAAAAAACAACAAAAAATGAAGACCGCAATATACAAACGTTAAGTAAACGGAACAGGAGGATGACATCAATAGAAATTGCGGCAGAAGTTAACAAAGATCGAGAGGATTCAATTGGTACGACAACAGTTAAGCGACGTCTTTTGCAAGCAGGGCTTCGCGGGTGTGTTGCAATTAAAAAACCGTTATTAAGGACTCAAAATAAGAAAAAAAAGACTGCAGTGGGCAAAATTATATAAAGATTACACTGCTGAAGATTGGGAAAAGGTGTTGTGGACCAATGAGTCGAAATTTGAGGTGTTTGGTACAAAACGACAAATCCATGTGCGTAGGAAACAAACTGAAAAATTAATTCCCGATTGTATTGTACCAACCGTTAAGCATGGGGGTCAGTCTGTGATGGTATGGGGTTGTTTTGGGACAAATCAAACTGGTGATTTAGTGCAAATGGAGGAAATTTTAAAAAAAGAACAGTATTTGCAAATTTTACATGACCATGCAGTGCCGTCTGGTAGACGCCTAATAGGACGAAACTTTATTGTATTTATGCAGGACAATGATCCCAAACACACCGCAAAAATTTGTACAAATTATTTAAAAGACCTAGAAAATAATCATGAATTGAAAATTATGGTATGGCCTCCGCAATCGCCTGATCTTAATCCAATAGAGAAATTATGGGAAGAAATAGACAGAAACATACGAAAAGTGTGTTCAAAATCAAAAAAGCATTTGTGGGAACTATTACAAAAAAGTTGAACAACAATAAATTCAGAAAAATTAAAAAAATTACTCGACAGGATGCCGCGACTAGTCCAAGCAGTGATAGCCGCACGCGGCGGATACATTGACGAAAAGAAAATATAAGATATTTCGGTAAGATTTTTGACATTTCTCCACTACTTCTTTATCATAAAATAGCTTAACATTACAAAATCAACAATAAAATCAAGCCAGAGAATTATATCCATGGGTTAATAATTATTTTGCTGAAAACGAGTAAGTGTCCGGTGACTTATGGACGGGAGTATACATCATTGTTTGGCCAATAAGCGATAAACTACTTACTATGCGATCAATTTTTTGTGTAACTATATCCTAACGTTTTGAAATCAATTCGTTCAGAAGTTATAATTTTTGTTTCAAATTGCCATATATGTGACAGATCGTGGATCATCCAGATAGGGCCCGTATACGCCGCGATTGCGCACGAGCAACGAAACGGGGCCTTAAAAACAGCACTTCGTGCATCACGTTTCGCGGAACACAGTCCCGCGAAAACACGGAAATATCAAGGCGAAGTCACGGACCGTTTTATGGAATCGAAATTCAACGACACGTTGCGGAACACCTACTCGCATCCCGCGAAATACAGTTCGGAAAATACTGCCTTAACCTTTTCAAGGATACTAACGCACAACTATGTGTTAAGTTTACAATTTACGTTAACCCCTTCGTGCCAGCGGCTGCGCACAGCGAATATTATTTCTTTTTTTCGATGTACGTCAGTTGGTTCGTTGAGAATATAATGAGATTGCAAAAAAGAAGTATGAATAATGTAAATTGGTTTCGCGGTTATTCGGTCTTTGTAATAAAAGATCGAATACGATCGAAGTAGTATCCCAACCTTAAAATACGATCCATAAAAGGAAAACAGGCACTGGCGATGCTATAACGATGATAAAATTTATCTGAAAGTGCGTACTGATAATAATAAAACGGTCAGGACGGGGTTAACGCGTTGTGTCGTGAAAGCTAGAGTTACAATTTTAAATAAATGTTCTCGATTAAACTTCTCGGTTCGATGACAGTTCGATTCGATCAAAATAAAACCGACCGTGAAGAGGTTAAAAACGCTACATAGCCCTCGTGCAGAAACCAAAGTAAAATGAGGATCAGTCACCTTCCGTTATCGACGAGAATTCGGTAGGCGGTATCGACGATTAACGGTAACACACGGTCAGAAATCGTGAAACGATTCCGGACCTCGGTGAACGTGCATCCTCGGGATCCTGGCAGCCTCGTTCGCGCACCCAGCTGCCATCTGGCTCGTCGTCCCGTTTCCCGCGACCGGTAACGCGAGCAACGAGAAGGACACAGACACGCAACACGCACGGTGGGCACAAAAATCACGTACTCGCAGCAAACGGACGCACAACACTGGGCTCACTCGCGCCAACTCGATGCTCGTTGCTTCCTGATCGCGCGAACAGAACCACGACGCATCAAGCTGCCACCACGGCGAATCCTGCACTGGCTATTATCCGTCGCGGAACAAACGCACACACACGAGAGGTTAGGTGGAAGGTAAGAGAGCGCGCGGAATGCCGCGGAACCGCTAGCGTGTATGGACGGTTCCGTACTAGCGAGGACCGAGCGTGACAGCGGATACATTCGAAGGTTAGATTCGCTCGATTCCTGTGTGTGCTTGTAGGCCTCTCACAGAGTTCTCTACGTTGACCCTCCCCCTCCCCCGCTCTCTCCTGCTGCCCCACTCTTCGAGCCCATCCACTGGGGGCCCCCTTCTATTCGTCGTCACGATTACAGACGAGCGGCGACCTGAACATTTACCTGGCGAATGCCGGAATCGTACGAGTAAACACGAAATCGGCCGAAGATTTTACTTGCCCGCATCTTTGAATGCCGCGTAGCCCGCGGTTTTATGGGACCAATCGTTCGAAGCAGAGATTCAAAACTGTTATAATATTAATATCGAAATAATGTTGCAACTATTATTGGAATAACGGTTGTAGCATCGGTTCCATTTCGGAAACAGAACCGGTACTAGAATCGTACCCGAAATCGATATTGTATCAGAATCGTTTTTCTAATAACAATTATCGCGTGTCACGTGTACGTCGTAGAAAAGTAATACCATTAACTGACACTGAATACGAAAACTTTACAAAGAATACAACTAAAATTTGATCAAAAAGCATACAGCCGAACATTAGTCAGAGAATGTGATACAGTAACAACTGTCCTCAATGACATTTTCCTGAATCGGTGGATGAGACGCGCGGGGCAAATTTCGTGGCCAGCTTCGGACTTAACGTTGCTCGGTTTTTCCTCTGGGAAGCATAAAAAGATATTGTGTACAAAGAAAGAGCAAAGGAACAATAAAATGCGTACGTGACGCAATGGTTCAAAGATTTCAGATTTTGGTTCCTTACAGTTACCAGAATACGATGATGCAATCGTACAAAACATGACCTTGAAAATGTTAGTTTCATAGACTTCCACCGATCCAGAGATATAAAATCACACTATGATGATCGGAACATATAATATTACGACACCCTGTACAACAGAATCAACCCTTGGAAGATTGCCCATCTGTAGATAAACATCCTCTATATGCCAAAGACGCGTTTGCTTCGAGGGAAATCCCCGCAACTGTGACACAGATCAAATTCACTTCGTCAGTCGCCCGAAGAGATTAACGGAACTATCGAGGAAGCTAAAGATCGACTATTCTATCGGAAATCGATGCCACTCGATGTTTCTAATCTTTCGATGTAACACGTTTATCCTCTTTAACGGCCCATTTCGCTCGTCGATTTTTCCATGTGCGGTGCTACTCGCGAGAAACAATTCGAGAAATTTCGCTCGAAACACCGCGAGATATCGTCCGAAAGGAACTATCGATTGACGATCTGCAGAATATTGCTGGAATACTATAGACTCGGTTTAGAAAGAAAAGACCCGAGAGAAAACCGTCCTTAGATACAATAGTGCTTGGAGTGAAGATTGGGTCGTTCAAATACCGTTTCTCAACGACACGGAGAATGTTGAGAGGGGTTAGTGTAATTCTGGCTCTTTACCCATTGGCATGAAACGACCAGGGGGTAGATTAAATGCTTCTGATACTACCAATACAATTTTATAATATTGCTGCTTCTTAATGGTGGGGGAAGTGAGAAAGATCGTAGGAAGGTAGAAAAGAAAAGCAGAGAAGCTTTCGTCCCGGGCCTGCTAGTGGACTCATGTCAGTAAGGCTTTCTAGCAGGTCCTGCCTTAGACAACGGGATGTTGCATAGTCGGTCGAAGAGTGTATACAGAGTGTTCGGCCAACCCTAGGAAAAATTTTAATGGGGGATTCTAGAGGCCAAAATAGAGGCTTTGTTAAAAAGTTATTAACGTTTAAAGTTCCGGCCGTACTGATTTTTTTTTTCGAAAATGCACAGGATTTCGGGTGTATGTCTACTCGCAAAAAATGATTGTAATTGACCTCCGCAACCGAAAATAATTTTTCCAGAGCGATTTGAAATTTTTTTTTCGTTAAAAAATTTAGGCACCTAATTAGATTTTCGGTAAGGAATTTTTTTCTCGAAAGTGCGTAGGATTTCGGGAGTATATGTAATGACCAAAAATAATTTTATTTGACCCCTGCAACCGAAAATAATTTTTATAGAACGATTTGAAATGTTTGAATTTAATTGTTAATAACTTTGTAACGAAGCCTCCATCAATTAATTGGTATTCTTGATTTTCGTCTTATTTTGGCCTCTAGAATCGCTCATGTAAATTTTACCCAGAGGTGGCCGAACACCCTGTATAGAAACTGAGGGGTAGGTCGACCGCTTGCGAGAGCGCGGTCCCTCTGGTGGCGAATGTGGGAGGTGACACCACCAATATCAATTGCAAGCGGGTCTAGTTGCCAATTTATTTTCCTGGCATGACTAATTTCACTGACGACCTTTTGTTTTGTTAAATTAGTTATTGCCTTTTAAATGTTTTTACCGTGTTTTTTTATGAAAATGTTAACTCACGCTCTTAAACCTGCACGGAATTAAACGTTTGATTGAAACACTCACCTTTCTTGTTCCGGCTTCTCCTCCGTACTCGCAGGCATATCGTTCGTGACTCGATGCACTGTGAAAAGAACGATTCGATTAATCGATGGGTAGGTAGACGGTTTAATTTCTCGATATAAAACATATGAAGGGGACACTTAAATATCTTTGGTAGGTTCGAAGAGAAAATGTCTGAGGAAAAATGTACCGTTCGAAAGAGTAAATGCGACGATTACGGATCTTCTATTTAATATTAGTTTCTCTTTTACTTTTATACGTTTAAAACGCGATTGGAAACTTAAAAAGAAGAAGGAAACAGTAGTTACCTGGTACATATATTGAATGACTTCGGACTGGCTGGCGTTTTCCAACGTACTGCCATTGACTTGTAAAATTTCATCCGCCACCTCCAACGCGTCCGCATTGTCGGCCGGCGAACCTGCGTCATTTGAAGAAGATTCAAAGGTTAACGAGACGAAACTTCGGAAACGATTTGAAAACAATATTTTGAAGGAAAAAAAAGTTCTCTGACGTGCAGAGTTTATTATTTATGGAACGCAATGCATACGTAAACCACAAAAAAAAAAGAAAAAAACTTGAGCGTTCCAACAGACGAAACGTTCGATGGAAACGAAGCTTGTCAATTCCAGAATCAGTAGAATACGAGCGCGCCAGATCAAACAGTAGATACGAGTGACACGCGATAGAACGTACGATTCAATTATGTATTTCAAACAGGACCGGTACGAATAATTTAATATTTTACGGATATTCGAATCCTACAAACAAACTTTAATTATTTTATAACAATGCGATATAGCTTCGGTATTGTGTATCATGATACTAAACAAGATAAAAGAAATTGCAACTTTCATTAATTTTATTAAATGTTATTCGAATTCTATTTGCTAAATATTTGAATCAGCAAAGTGTTCGAACATTGAAAAAATAGAAAAATTCGACAAATGATCACAGCACTAATTTCAAGCGATGCCGGGCTTTAAAAAATGAAACACGGCAAAGAAATTTTAGAACGAAGACGTGGCTGAACGTCTACGTGCTTGACAACCGACTTTGCAGACACTCATTAAGCAGCAGAAAAGGCTGCTAATTAAAATGAAAACAATTTCTTGCTTCGCGATGACAAACGAAATTACGTGTTGTCTCTTTAGCGACGCCATCGATGCCGTTGATTTGAACCAGTTAATTTTCTTATTTTTGTGTCACAATTTTGATGAAAGAGGTCAAAAGCTTACAATTAGCATAAAATAAAGTATAAGAATTTAGTGACAGGTTGATCCAGACCGACTTAAAATATGTTTAACTGTGTCGATGTTCTATATTTGACACGTATTGTATTTTTATAGTAAATCTATTGTGACTCTACGCTTTTCTTAAACTGTATCCTATTCTGAGAAAAAGAAAAGCCTTCTGTGCGAGTCGTATTAGGTCAGACGTTATAGTCAACCTTCGTAAGGCTTACTCGAGATTGTCCACATTCTACTTACTCGTTGTACCACATTCCCCTTAACTCGGGACTGTTCTCTCTGCCAGCGATATCTGCGTTATTACTACTTACATAGAATTGCCTCTTAACCAATATTTCCTTTAATAACTGGTATTAAAGTTGTAATGGAAAGAAATAATAATACACGTCATTAAATTGTAAATAATAGTTTGTGTTCTTTACGATTAAGCTATCTTTCTATTTATTTATGTATATTAAAATAGAAAATAATAGGGAAAAAAATTATTTGGCTCTGGTTTGAACAATATAAGGTATGATTTATGTAATTCAATTAATTCAAATGCGGTAGATTAAATTATACAATATATAATATTGTATATGTTAAAATTAAACACTTCCTTTTTAATTTGTTACATGAAGTTTGTAATAAATATCTGACGTCTGGATCAACTTATCAATTATAAAACTGAGAAGTAGCTACTTGTCATAAAGCAAATTTCGACTTCAAGTTAATATAACTTGTTTATAAAAAGCGTGGCAAATAATTCGAGTCAACACACCTTGCACTTTGATACACGTTAATCAGTATAAACCAAAGCTGTTTCAATTATTTTCAAAACCAATTGTTAGTTCATCGATTTAAATATAACAGAACGAAAGTTTATAATGCAGTTAAGGGCTTCGATCAAACAATCCCTATCAACGATCTGAGTAGGAAGGATAGGATGTGCAACGTTTGTTTACATTCTGTGATCTACAACAATGTACCAAAACAAAATATGCCTTCATTTCATGTGCGGTCAAAATGATTCATCCCGGTATGTATAGGTATACCACGTATCAATTTTACATAAAAAAAAAACCCACAGAATTAATAATTTGAATATCTCAATAAAAGCTACAGAAAATGTTAAAAAATAAGTTTTACTGAAAATGAGTAACGATTACAAGAAATAACAAAGCAAGTTATTCTGACGCGTTCGGTAGGTCTAGCGTTAAGAATTAGTGACAGACGGTGGACGAAATTATCGATGCTCACCATATAGTTTGATCTTGTCATTGTGGTTGATCAGTATGATAATGTATCCCCCTAGATCGACCATTTTCGCTGGTCTCGACGTGTAGACGGTGGTCTACCCGATCTGAAGTGGAGATGCGACGTTGCCTCGGGCGATCACAGCCCCATCATCGCCCGAAAAAACGATTCGCCGATATTAACGTCGTTACCGCGTGCCATTCCTTCCGTTTCCTCTCGCATCTTCCCGTTCGATGGTACTATCGACCTCGCGCGACCTACTTTTCACCGACAATACCTACGTTCCCTATAAACGTAAACGCGCATCTTTCATCCTGTACTGTTTTCCGTGCTCAGGCTCGCGTTCCCGTCGGCTCGTATATTTCGAATCACGCACAGTTTCCGCTCGGTTTATCCCAATTGGTGGGCACAACTGTCGACCGATAGCCCCGGGAATTTCAAATTTCACTAACGGACTATTGAGACAGTCCTGCCACTTGCGTACACAGACCGACCGAAAATTACGGAAACTAACTACGAGTAATGCACCTTTAACGAGAGTTTTGCTACAGAACACGATGCTTCTCCGTTCCGATCATTCTTTTCGTCGGAACGATACGACGCGTTAGGGAAACAAAAGTTGCGTTTTCCGTGTTTTCAGCCAGAACCCGAAAATACGAAGAGGTTCAAACGCCTGTCCTGGCGCGAAACGATCAGCTATTAAACACGTAACGTTGCTCCTCCGATCAAATCGTTTCTTCCTTTACACGCGTCGACGAGGGTGGAAGCGTTTCTTAAACGCGTATTATCTAACGACCTTCGAATTGCCATTCCTGGCGTGACGAGTCCAGGAGGAAACCCTCGACGGGGCCCCGTGTGCATGGGCCCCCCTACATCCTCGTGACGATGTCCTCAGCCGCGAACGATTCACCGAGTTCAGAACTCCCGATGTCCTCCCGGCTTATTGATCAGAGCTTTCGCCGAACACCGCTCCACGCTTTCGATCATCCTGGTCCGTTGCATCCTCGGGCGGGCGGCTCGTCGCTGACGGTATTCGGAAACCTCGAGGATGCTCTGAATCGAGGACGCCCCGACCATCCTCGTGACAGTCCCTTCGTTTCCTTCGACCAGTGCTCCCGATTAAACGTACCACATCCTCCGGAGGTTATCTTGTTTCACCGCCGATGAGGAACCCTCCGTCGCCGCGTCCAAGGATTCTTATGCAATTTCTACCCCTCGTCCTCGTACTCCTGTCCGGATTATCTTCTTTCCCTCCCTCCTCGAAGGACACTTGCGACCGTCCCGATTGCACGCAGAATCGGAAACGAAATCTCGCACCAACGATTTCACGCGTACACGTAACCTCGACGATCGTTCGCGAACGTCTTTCCTCGATCCTTCGATCTCATCTCCTCTACTTTTCTTCTCCCCAATTCGATTATCGTCGCAGGATCTCGGCAAAGAGCAACCAACGAATTATTGCCACCCTGCCTATGCACCCCAGTACGCACCACTTTTTATCTTTGACGATTCGAAATTCACTAAACGTTCCGTCTCGCACTGGGGAAACGAGGTTAGACGTGCCCGACCACCGTCGATTCACCGACACTTGGACGCCGTGTAGCCCGACGATCGTCCTTTCTGTTTCCCGCGACGTCGACGGGCTGCGAGAATTATCGGCGAGGATGGGTGTGAACCTGTGCGTGTTAACCGACGGCGGCAGCAGCCCTGACATCGCTCGTCGTACGCTGATCTTCAGCCCTCGCCGCCAAGCGGCGACAGCGGCGACCGTCACGCGGCGCTCGCGTCGTTCTCGCGCCGACCAGCCCCTCCATCTTTACGTTTTCAATCCACCGTCGACTTTTCACCACGTTCGCCACGCGAATCTTTCGTACGATTCGAAAATGGGGAACTGTTCCAGTCACACTTAAAACGACGAAAATGGTTTCTTTCGCGCGAACGAAACTAAACAGCACTGTCCATGACTAGGAATAGGGTCTTCTAGCATCGGAGCAGGTTGATCACTGCCTAACGAAGAACCGTCTTTAACCCTTTGACTGCGGCGCACCCTAATCCAGAACCATCATTTTTGTGCGTTCGCGTGACAGTCGGCAACCAAATTCAGACTAAATTATATTTTAAGAACATATACATTTTTCGTTATTATGTATTTTCCGATCACTTTACTTTTATCGTTGCTTTTGTTATGTAGTAAAACAGAGTAGACAATAAATATATAGCAAAAAAGTTATTTATTTAAGTCAATTTATTTAGTAGTTGTAAGCATATTCTGTGGCAATACTTTTGTCCAGCACTGTATGGTATTTATGAATACTTCTTAAGATTAAATTTGACGTTGCTTTCTTTACGTTTAATACATGTTGCACAACCGATTATGTATTGCACGAGAATGTCACACGTTTATGTGTTTCTAAAGTGATAGAGTACTTCGTGTTGTAACAATACATTCTCGTAATCGATTCATAGAATAAAGAAACTGAAATTTCTATTAATCTTGTTCCAATTGAATAAAATTTATTCTAAAATTATTGTCAACTATGAAATTAAATAAAAAGAATAACTTTCAATTTTTCTCCGTTAATATCGAAATTTTTTAACTTCGAACTTTCGCTGTGCCATTTCCATAAAAAACTCAAGTTGACCTTTATATCACAATGAAAAAACAAGACAGCGAAAAACTAGAATTTTCGACCTTGGCTCGATTAAAAACAAAGGAAAGAAACGGGCTCGGCTGTGCGCCAGATGTGAGCGTCGTATTGTCTTCATTAGTTCCACAGTATAATCAACTTATGAACAAGCAAGCATATCCATTACATTAAATAAAATCCACATTTTCATTTGTTGTGTCGTCTATTCTGAATTTTTTGTCAATGTTGTATTACTACATATGTAATATAATAGTATTTGATACTTATTTTGTTGTTTTTACTTTATTTGCGTGTGTATTCAGTCAAAATATAAAATGTACATTTCACTAAGTGTTACATACAGTTTAATAAACACTGATCTAGAAGGTTACATCTGGGAGGATTACATTATGTTCTGTTGCCTGATATAAATCGATTATTTTTAAATTAGATTCAAAAATATTAAAATTAATATTTGAAACCAATGGCATCTATTCATAATTAAAAAAAAACAACATATGTAACATTTATGTAAAAAATTATGGTTTTTCAATAAAAACAATAGAACCATAGCCACCATATTTGTTATAAACTTGTTTGAATCACGTGATAAAAGTCTACAGCTCTTATTGGAAAATCCTGTACTTAGAATTCAGCCGTGAGCCAAAACAGGTTGAGAATCACTGCCTTGGAAGACCCTGTCTGTGCAGGGTTGATAAAGGTCATTCATCCAACCGGCATTGTAAACCCAAAACTAAGTGGAAGCAGCCCTTCAGTGCCTAACATTAGGTAGATTACAAGATAGAGTATACCTTAGCTTTCTGACCAATTACTCAATTTTTAACGATGAAAACCTTACTCTAACCTTAAAATATCAAGTTTCATTAATTTGTAATTTGTAACACGAATCGTAACGTTGCATCGGGGAGCTGATAACTCTAGCTACGACCCTAATCATGTGTAGTTTATTGGTGGTCGGTTTTATCGATCTAACTTTACAATAACGTATTATAAATAAAAGAAGAAAGCTTATTATAAACCTTCTTTTCACCGTTATTATTCTCTAGAAAATTTATATTTACACCGATTGTCGTTTAAAGTTATTATCCATAATTATAAATGTCCTGGGTATCTAATCAGCTTATATCTAATTGCTATTAAATATTTATTAGCGTATCAAGTTCGTAAAAAGTACGAATAGTAATAACAATAAACTTCATAGAAAAAAAAAACTACTCATTGTTAAACGAAAGCAAAGTACATTTAAAGTTTCTCCTCTATTCGTACTAGAAAAGATTTGACAGATATATGGAAATTTCGCTAGCTATTCTCGTATCGTGCTAGTACTTATTCTAAACTTTGTACTACTAAATTTTTCTGATATTTACTAAATTCTTCTGGATTAGACATCATTAGACATAATTGGGTTAATAAAACTTCGTAGAAAAAAAGATAATAAAGAAATATAACCTTATTTCGGTTTCAATGACCGCCAAAGAAGATTCGAATAAGTGACTCTGAATAGTACGCGAAGAAAGAGCATCGCGACCTTAAAATGGGAGGAGACGGAACAAGAATGAAAGTGCATTGGGGTGGTGTCCTGTGAACGCGTGTGTCACGTTACGGGTGCACTCCGTGTGTAAATACGTGTCAGCGCACGTGCACCAGAAAAGCAGAGCGAGCAATCGCCCCGAGAAAGAGGGAGAAAGAACTGTCAGAGCGCGTGATCAATATAGGGCATGGGGGATGCTAGCTCTGCAATTGCCCGTTCAGTTCTCCTCGTGCTATTCCCTTTCAACTTCCATCTTACGCGACTAATATCAGCGGGCTTAACTTAGAAATGCCTTTGATCAATACACCGGAAGGTACAGCGAAAATCGATCGCCCCTACGATTCTTCGATCATCGTAAACTTGCACCAGGCTCGTTCTATTTCAGCGACGAGGAATCCTTTGACATTGAACGACCGCACACTAAATTCCTATCTAGATTTTCTTTTTCTTCTTCTTCTTCTTCCTTATTTATTTTTGTTATGTCACATCAACTGCTTGGTCATTACCGACAATACTGCATTATGATTTTGTGATATATGTTGGTTTCCTTTAAGTAACCCAATGTGTATTTCAACTGATCCGTTTCAGGTAAAAGTTGAATAATTTCGGGGGCTACATAATTTGATGTGTGTAAGCTTTTCCTAAATGGACGTGTATAGGGCATATGAAACTCAACTTTGTTTCCTTAAATAGAATTATACATTTTCTGATGCATCAATTGGTACAACTCGTCGTTCCTTCGAAAAATCATTAATTTGGAAGATATTTTCCATTAATTATACCAAAAAAGATCCAGACACTATTGTAGAAAATGTTTTATAAATAAATATAACGAAACTCGAGAAGTATTTTCATTTTCATTATTTCTTAAATTAAAAAATTAATATAGTCCAAGACACTACGATCGTTATAGTTATACCTGAGATGGCGCTGACACGCCATTGCAACGAATTGCAAAGTACAAAACAGTTCCGTGAGACTTTGTTCAGCCATGGTTTTAAGCTTTGTTCTCGTTTTAAATGCTGTTGAAGTTTAATCATTAAACTCTGTGGAAATATCGTGAGCGAAAACATCTTCCGCAATCGATAATATCATTTGTTTGGATGTGTAAATAGCCTGATAAATGATAAATAGGAGTTTCCTTGATAATGATTGACTCATTATTCAACATGCAAACTAATACTAATGTGTATCTATTGCGTTTAAATGCTACTAAAGTGCTTTTGTTTCTTTGACCATGCGCAGCGATCTATCGAAATCCTTTGTAGCGTGGTGTTGTGAATCGTCAAGATCATCAAGATTTAACACTCTAACAGTTTTCAAAGTTCTTCTGTCTGAAGAGGCCACTAATTAGATTTATCGAATATCTTAGTGACTAGCATTTGTTGATACTGCTGTTCATAGTTAAGTTAACAAATATCTAAAAAGAAAAAAAATGGATTCATTTATTGTTAAAGTTATAATTTTTTCTCTGGTATCAGGCACTTTGTGCAATATTTTATATTATCAACCAGAGGCTGTACACATTGCTTATGGAGGTAAGAATAATTTTTACAAACGTTCGTTACAAATTGTTTATTATGAAAACCGTAATTACCTGTCATTACTTGTCTATCCATTCATGAAAGTATGTTGTCCAAAATTGATTTCATTGATAACATTATGTTCAGATAACATTCATGATATTGTTGTGACATGGAGCACTAGGAATGATACGGAGGAATCTATCGTTGAATATGGTATAGGAGGACTTGTTCTTAGTGCCACAGGATATTCCACGATATTTGTTGATGGTGGAAATGAAAAACAAAAACAATATATTCATAGAGTATGGCTAAAGAATTTAACACCCAATAGCAAATATAGTAGGTTGAATAATTGTCTGCATTCATATAATTTATAAAAGTTATATACAAGCAAATTTTTTCAACAGTTTACCATTGTGGTAGCAAATATGGATGGTCGAATGTCTTTTACATGAAAACTGCTCCCGAAGAATCGGCCAATTGGTCACCACAAATTGTTATATTTGGTGATATGGGTAATGAAAATGCTCAAAGTTTACCAAGACTACAGGAAGAGGCTCAACATGGACTATATGATGCAGCCATTCATGTGGGAGATTTTGCATATGATATGAGTACTGATAATGCACGCGTTGGTGATGAATTCATGAAGCAAATAGAAGGTGTTGCTGCTTATTTACCTTATATGACAGTACCTGGTAATCACGAAGAACATTATAATTTTAGTAACTATAGGTAAGTATAGAAGTACATTCATACCCTGACTAACAACTTGATTTATATTTAGTCTACTAGCAACATTTGCTCAATCAGATTTGTGTTCATGTGAAGCATTTTATATATTTTGTAATTGAAGGGCTCAACAAAAAATATTGCCTACTTTAAAAGTTCGACATTATTTATTAATTGACCTAATGATTTTTCAATAATCCAATTACTTAATTGATAAATCCATCATTTTTTATATAAATTTCTTAGATCTCGTTTTACAATGCCTGGCGACAGTGAAGGTTTATGGTATAGTTTTAATGTAGGACCTGTCCACTTCATAGGTATAGAAACAGAAGCTTATTACTTTATGAATTATGGTATTAAACAACTGGTTAAGCAATATGATTGGCTAGAAAGGGATTTAGAAAAAGCAAACAATCCTAAGAATAGGTAAGCTTCTATTGTTTTTTGTCAAGACCAAAGTTTAGCATAATTTCAATAAATCATTATCTAGACAAAACATTTTTATTCGCATAATTTATTTAGATAGTTATTAGTTATTTGCAGTGTTCATCTGGGACAAAAAAAGTATTTACTGTACAAATCTATTTAAATAAAAGATACTCGAATAAAAACATTATTCGTTATTCGAACAACCTTTTGTTGAAACAACAAAGTAGGAAGAATAAATATTTAATCGACAAAAAATGACAATTGTCTTGAATATGAATTTATTTCATTAACTTACTAAAAATATAAACGTCAACTTAAATATACATAACAAATAAATATTTATTCGCCCATCTTTGTTATTCGGAAGTTAAGATTGCTCGAATAAAGTTTTATATTCGTGCGTGAATAATGTTTTATAGTCGAATAATTTTGTCCCGTGATTCGTGAATTAAAAACTAATAAAATATATAGAGAACAGCGGCCATGGATAGTGGTATTCGGTCACAGACCAATGTACTGCAGTAATGCAAATGCAGATGACTGTACCAATTACCAAAGTCTTGTTAGAGTTGGATTGCCATTTATCAATTGGTTCGGATTGGAAGATCTCTTCTTTAAACAAAAAGTAGATTTATTATTATGGGCGCACGAGCACAGTTATGAGCGTATGTGGCCCATGTACAATTTGAAGGTAATTCTATCGTTCTGCAAACCCAAGGTTTTGAATATTTATTTTTGATGGATTTAGCCAATAATGTTAGGTCGTCCGATAAGTTTGTGTATTTATTTATTTCATAGTAAATTTTCTTCCAGTAATAATTGCATCGATACTGCCTCATATACGACTTGATAGCTTTTCTGCATCAAAATTGTACTTTATATTTTCGTTACGTGTTACTATTTCTTATAGGTTAAAAGCAATGGGAGTCTTCATTGATTTTTAGATGCACTGATACATAAAAATGCATATTGAGATTATGCAGAATTTGATACCATTTACTTTACCTTATGACATTTTTATCAATCTTTCATCATTTTAAAGATACAGTTTTTTTTTTTACTTGCGCGGGAACATTTTATATATGTACTTACTGCTGCTTTGCTGCCATGATTACATATTGTTATATGATTGTTGCAATTCTTAACAAAAAGAACCTCAAAAATTGAATTTCTATACCAGAACACCCCCTTCAGACATAGCATGAATGTATCGAACGACCTAATACGAAGAAAATAAATAAGAAAAGGTGGTAAATAATTATAGGTACAAAATGGGAGTTACGAAGAACCGTATAAAAATTACAAGGCACCTGTGCACATAGTAACTGGATCGGCCGGATGTGTAGAGGGTAGAGAAAAGTTCGTCCCACATAAACCAGAATGGTCTGCGTATCATAGTTCAGATTATGGTTATACAAGGATGAAGGCGTATAATAGGACTCATCTTTATCTTGAACAGGTATTGGTTAGTTTGGAAAAATAGGCACAAGGAATGTTTGTTATTATTCAATTTACAATATTCTAACAATAGGTATCCGATGACAAGGAAGGTGCTATTTTGGATCAAGTTTGGCTTATAAAGGACGACTTTTTCCCGGCGTACAATATAGACCTTATAAATGAAATATAAAGCACAATATAGGATAAAGCGATTGAAACGATATATAGACATATCACTTTAGTTACCATTTTGTCTCATATGACAATGTACCATGCTCTTTTATTGTAAATAGCAAAATTGTCTGTCTGTAAACTTCGAACAATCGAGTTTAATTCTATTTGTTTGTTTGTTTGTTTTTTTAATTCTTCCTATTCCCCTTCTCTCTCGCTCTCTCTCACATAGAAACAAATAAACTACAAAAATTTGCTAATTACAAATGAGATGGAAATTAATAATGCGTACGTACAATATAATCCTTTAATTGTTAAAATATAAATATATGTATATATAATCATTGTAGCATATAATATTAATAATATAATATTAGGGTAGCATTTCATTATTTCCATCTGATTCTCACAGTAAATCATTATTTGTCAATGATACACATAGTTGAATAGCGCGAACCGTATTAAGGAAAACAAAAATTTCCTAATTTGATGGTATTAAATGTAAAAAAAAAAACCGCTTTCTCTCGATTCTAAAATTCTCGATCTCAGATTTACACGTTAGTGCAATTAAAGCTTGTTAATGTTTCTATGCTTCTACGTTTAAAATGGATAATCCACTTAACTCGTTAGCTGGCTCCATGCCAAGTGTAATTTGCTATTTTGGCTTCTGCTCTAATAGTTAACTAACGAATTTAAAAGAACAGAAAAAGAATCCAGGAACTGTCCTTTCATAAATTATTACAATCGAGTTTACAATGAAGCTAAAGTGTCGAACGTCACTTTCATCGAACAAAGGACTGGTAGCTACGATTATCAAATATCATTCTTCGACGCAGAAGAAACATGCCACTCTTTACAATGTAACACAAGGCAGGGGATTGAACTTAAGTTAACTTCCACTTTTCTTTTTTTTCCTCTCACTTTCTTTCTCTTTTCAAATTTATCCCCGTTATATCGTCGCGAACCTACTCAGCAGGTATAAATAGTATTAGCTCAATTGGATCGTATAGTACACAAATTTTCCATGTACAATTTTAATGAGTATGTGTAAATGCGCGCGCACGAGCACGCATAAACACATACACACACACACATACACACCCACATACACACACACAAATCTGATCTGCCATTGGAGATATGCGTTAAAACCTTCCGAAGATGCACAAAAAAGCATCGTAAATTAGCAAAAAATGTGATATTCCGATTGATCTGCAAAAAAAAACAAAAAAAAACAAAAAATCTTCCAAATCGGCAGACAATCCACGAATACTCGTCGCAATTGAACGTCTTTGTTTGACCTTTCCATGCATTTAACCACTCATCTCAATATATAAACAAAGAAAACCCTTGATACTGTCAGTGATTAATGGAAACGATGGAAGAGGTTGCTGCTGAGTGACTTTCCTGATACGAAAAGTGAGTAAAATGTTCTTGCTCTTCGGCTATCGAATTCAGACTAGCTCCGCTGCCCAAGAAACCTTGATCGGGCGGCGTAAGTTCAACACTTTCACCTGTAAATTCGCTTTCAAAATATCGGGTGTCCGTATCTGAAGATACTCGAGGTTTAAACGGAGGTGGAATCTTTTTCTGTACAAGATCCGACCAATCGATCGACGAAAAGAACGCGTGATCTATAATCTCTTTTGCATCGTTCGGTCCGCCTCCTAATCTTTTGCTCGGATCTTTTATAAGTAATCCTGGAAAAAGAAAATGACGTGAAATGTAAAATGCACTGTTCACAGTAGAACCTTCGCTGCTGAAGGGGATACGCAATTGTTCGTGGAACTGTTTTTTATATGTATATAAAAAAAAATGTAACTTTTTTGAACGTGGAATCATGAAGTTGACTGAAAGGTGGCAAAATGTAATCGAACAAAGCAGACCAACCCAATATTTAATAGCGCTTACTCACCGCCAAGCATGTCCTTCGCCTCGTTACTGAGAGTTCTAGGAAACTTTACTTCTTCCATTACAATAAGCGTGAAAAGTTTCTCGTGGTCCTTGTTATAAAAAGGTAATCGGCCACAAATCATCTCATACATTACAACACCCACACCCCACCAATCTACTGCTCGTCCATAGTCATTATCTTCGAGCACTTCTGGTGCCAGGTATTCGGGAGTCCCACAAAATGTTTTCGTCGTTCTTCCTGTATAATGGAAATGTTACCGATATTTTCCATTATTTTCACACTGAATAATGTGCGCCTTTAACTCGATAAAGAATTAACTTTGCATGTTTGAGAGTTTTTTGCAAACAAATTTTCAAAAATGTTTTAAAAATTCACTCCTACGCTTACCATACGTTATGTCTTCTTTACATAATCCAAAGTCAGTAATTTTAATGTGTCCATCTTTGTCTAAAAGAAGATTTTCTAATTTGAGATCACGATAAATGATACCCTGTGAATGAAGGTAACCTAACGCTGAAATGATTTCAGCCCCGTAGAATCGAGTACGATCCTCGCCAAACGCACGAGAACGTCGCAAATGGAAAAATAACTCGCCGCCATTCACATATTCCATTACAAAACACAGCCTATCCGCTGTTTGAAAACTATACTTTAAAGACTGTAAATCAATAAACATTAAATGTTAATTGAGCCTGCAAATATTTGAGAAAATAATGGAGCAAGCGTGCTATCTTTATTTAATTTCTCAATACTGCACATACAGTTTCATGTTTGCAATAAACAAGGATTGAGAATTGTTATTAGTTCTTCAAAGCATTAGCTGTGTAAAAGCAATGCCTACTATCCTTGATACAATTCATATTCTCTAGTACCGAATAGAATCTCTGGCGAGTAATTCAGTTTAATTTTGGAGCAAGTGAGAAGAATAAGTTTTTATTTGAAAGAAAATTGTACAAAGCAGGAAGTTCATATATTCAAACTAAAATAGTGATGAGTGATATAATTGTAATTCTTTTCCATCGATCCGCATATTTTGCGACCGTAATTTCATTATATTATTTGTCACGAATATAAAACCGTACATGCACTATTGAGAAATTAATGATAGCGTACCCATGCTACCTTTTTGGCTAGAAGGTAGGATACGTACAGTTAGGAACGGATGATTTGTAGTACGCAATACTCTACTTTCGGTAAGTGTGTGCGCCACTTCGTCTTTACGAATAATTACTTCTTTTCGTAAAATTTTTATAGCGTACAAGTGCCCTGTTGCCTTTTCTCTGCAAAGGATTACCTTTCCAAATGTCCCCTTACCCAAAACTTTTAAAAATTCAAAATTTTCAAGGGTCTGAAACAGAAATGATCTTTCTTCGTAATTCGCGACGGCGAAGCCGGCTCACTTCAGATCCACGCTTACAGTAGCGAACAAAAGTTTAAGACAACTACATTCTTGATAGATTATCAGACTCTATTATAGATACTAAATAGCCAATAATTCGTAATTGGTCTTGCAATCACGCATAGACTTATACTTTATTTATAATCGACCTAACTACTTTCAAAGCATAAACAGTACTTGAGATTATGACAATGAAACTTTTAATTTGTTACGGACATTAGTTTAAAACGAACGTTTAAACACGGTGGTCCTTCGATTGAAAACTTTGGAATTGATTTTTTCGAAATCGTATATGCTCTTTTTTCGTTCAATGCTTCCAGTTATATACTCACTACTTTCTTCTTCCCTGTACTTTTACTACTCGAAGTTCCTTGAACACTAAACTTTGCGGACAGTTCGTCTATACTGCCGCCATCTGCATCCGAAGACACTATTCCGACAGACCCACTTGAATCCGACCTACCACCACCTGAAGATTCCATTTCAACATCTTCCGACGAAGACGAATGTTGCATTTGCGTTTGTTGCTGCTGCTGCTTTTCGCTCGCTAATCTAGCAGCTACATACCTATTAATGAAAATGATATTTAACATACCTTTAATTGTCACATGGTTTGCACAGAATCAAACAGCAATCGAACCTGATAGCTGCTACCCAATCTTCCCTTTCTTGCTCCGTTTCTACGTGAAATGTCCTTTCAATTACACCAGCCCACTGTAAACCCCTAATTACGAAGGTATAAGGCTTAGGTCTATCTACAGACATAATCTGACATCCTCGAACCGTGAAATTATTTAAAGGCTGTGCGGTTGCTGCCATTTGTTGATCAGGTTTCACTTTGAAACCGACCAGTGTACCATCGTCCCGCAAAACGAAATACCTTGGCCTCCAATTTTTTATGTGTTCCCCTGTTGATACAATCCAAGGAAAAAGAATAAAATTAAATTGTAAATAATGGTAAACCATATAGAGTAATTACTTCATTATATTAAATATGTTACAGTGAATTAGCTTTTCGTTACTATAAAAAGGAAAGATACATACAACATAGAGCATAACTGTGTCAATAACCAAGAATTTCTTATAAATCATATTTCATTGCTATTAGCACTTAGAGTCACAAAAAATAAACTTAATAGGAGTATTTTGCAAGAATAAAGATAACATAAAAAATTTTTTAAAGTTCCAAAGGTTCTTTTCTTTGCCTGTAACAAAAAATGTTCACTGATAGAGTTTTGCACCATGTAGCAGCAAAGTTAAACTCAGTGTTTCAAATGTAAATATTTACTTATATAATGGCTCGTGTCTGTAGTAATGTTTACACAAAACAAGTGCACAACTTAATATGCAGTTTGTCATTGATTTTCAAATGAATAAGTTCAGTAGTGCTATATATGCTATATGGTCTAATAAAACTAAAATAAACAGAATTAATTCTGTTGAACAATTCTGGTGCCGGATTCAAGGAGAAACACTTCAACCATGGCATGTTAAACAAACGGTCAAGTACAGTACTAGATCTTTTATATAGTAGATATATGTTTGCGTTTGGCATTTGACCAGTGCATTGAATGAGCAAAATAATAACCCAATACATATATACAGATATTTTGGACAAAAATTTACTAGATACAGTGGAAAATATGCTGTTTCCTGAAGACATGATTACATTCCAATGGGATGAAAACTTTAAACGTATTGCATAAAGTATACAAAATTGGATAAAAACACAAAAATGTTTTGTTCTGAAACAGCCTGTATCCTGATTTCAATCCAATTGAGAGTTTATAGGCATTCTTAAAACATAAAGTACAATTTTCTTATGAATGAACACGGTCAATGATTCCTAAATTGCAAAACAGGATTAAAGAACAATGGATTATTATCAAAATATTGTAGATAGTAGGAATAAATTTACTGCAACAGATGTAAAAGCTAAAACAAGGGTCAAAATCTTATCGATAAATATTTCTTATTACAGGCAAAGGACATCTTGACAACTTTAAAAAATTTCTTATGATACCTTTATTTCTGTGAAATATTCCTATTATGTTTATTTTTTGTAAACTTTAATGCTAATAGCAATAAAAAATGTCTTATAAGAAACTACAGGTACAGTTATAAGTTGTAGAATACAAATGGAAATAGCTGAAATATGCACAGACCTGTTGGAACAAAATATTAAAAATGCCTCGGACCGCAAAGGGTTAAACAAGAAATCGAAAAACTATCCGAAAACACGAAATATAATCGTGGAAACCAGCGATCGATGCGTTATTAATTAGTAAACACGGTGTTTTAAATTTTCTAACGCATTACGGTCGGTCATGAAAAGCGACATTAATCGCGGAACGACTACGATACTTTCTAAAATTTTTGCAAAAGACATTTTGAACAATGTATTTGTGACATTTTGCCGAATGGTGAACCAGCGGAGGTACGAAGGGTAATGCAAGAAAACGAGGAAAAGTCGATCGTGAGTGTACATTGCCAATCCACTTGAAGCGAAGCGAAAGAGTAAACATAAATATTATGAAATTGGTCTGAGGTGTACCGCGTTTTTGAAGCCAGCCTTCTTTTACAATACGCTGACCGGACGCTGCGACGTTCATCGCTGCGTCCCCCATAACTCCTTCTTCGATGAGTACTCGTATACACGCTCCAGACGCTTGGTGTTCCCGTTCAGGCACAATATTTCACGAAAATTAATGAAACACAACAGCGAGAATGGCACGAGTATACAAACTTGAGCAATCATAGATACACGTTTGTCAGGTAAACTCGACTATACTCTGATCGACGGACGCACTAATGCGCACTAACTAACATTGCCTGCTTGTATTCCGAAGATGGCGCGTCGATCAATCGCGGTTAAAGACGAATTCTTATTAAACAATGCCGATCTACTCTCGTTCAACACGAATAAGCGTCACCGACATTATCATCAACACGACCATTCTATATATTCTATATTTTAAGACAAGCATGCGCAAAACCTTTTGTTTATTACGGTTTGTTATTATATATACATATATGTTGCAGTAAAAGCATGAACCTGATCAATGCATACACACGACACGAAAACCAGGAGCTGGGATTTTTTATTGAATTATATTCTATTCGCATACTTTCGTTGTATCAAATATTTAGCGAATATGCAGTTACTCGCAAAATTGAGCATGCACTTAAGTTAATTAAAAGAAAATTTTAAATCTTCGACTGAAAAATTGCAAATGCCACCATATCACTTCCAGCAAGATAATGACCCTAAACACACCTCGTGTGTTGTTAGGGAATGGTTGCTCTATAATGTTCCCAAATTATTAAAACCACCGCCACAATTATCGAATCTCAATCTGACAGTATATTTAGGAAAAGAAATAAAGACGCGAAGAAGAAAGTGATTGTGGCGTGGAAAAATATTTCAATTTCAACAACGAAAACATACTTATAAAAAATATTACTTTAAATATAATTTCTTACTTGTACGCTCCATTTTGTATAGTAAAAATAAGAGTATCATTCATAATGTAACATTATAAATATGTATATACATATATTGATAATTTTTTTAAATTCATTCGTAATTAGAAAAAATATTTTACCTAGGTAAATGATTGTATAAGAAAAAATCATCTTAATATTAAGTTCTAGTTGTATTCCTATTAATCAACATTTGCACAATTCTTTTTATGCGATTTTGAATTGTACAGTACACTTTCAATGTGTAAAAAGAGGATCAGGTGCATAAATAACGTATTTATGTTTCATAGAAAAAATTATGGAAAAACCAGAAGTTCTAGTTTTTCTAAATTTACCCCTCATGTATCCCTGCCTCAATGGCCGCCTCTGTCATTGATATCTATATCAGTCGTCATTTATTTTGACAGGCGTCAATTTTTTTTTTCTCTCTAACCTATACACCCATGTCTTGTCCTAGTAATAAACATCAGACAAATTCGGTTCTAGGAAAGATTTGAAAAAGTCAAACATGAAGTAGTGTATCTATTTGCAAAATGTTTCAAAAGTAGAACTTTGAATCACGGATCAATGATCGAGGTTAGAACTATGCGTGATCGATATTTACTTGTACGAAGATAGAAGGAATTTTGTATTAAACTATAATCGGGAAGATGGGTCCTCCGCCGGTGGTAACGGGAATATCACCTAAGGAAGGACCACCAGGAACCCGCGTAATTGTTCGCGGAGAATTCCTGGGAAACAAAGTCCAGGATCTCGTAGGTTAGTTTCGCTTAGAAAAAGTACTTAAAAAACCAAATTTTCACTAAAACGAATGTAACGTTTAATTTTTGTAGGTCTAACAATATGCGGGTGCGATTGTCTCCTGTCCGCGGAATGGAAATCGAATAATAAAATTATTGCCAGATCAGGACCTTGTAAAGGTCGTGGTGACATCATAGTAACCACACGTAGTGGAGGACAAGGAACTTCTACTGTACAATTCCGTGGTTATCATGAAACTATAGGTCCCATGAAAGAGTCAGCAGTATGGGTGGAAGAAGCTCCAATGCAAAGTTTTGTATGGGGAAGAAGAACATTATCACCAACAAATTATCAACAGGAAGATCCTCTCGGTCTGAGCGTAGAAGGCAATGAGTGAGTTTATTTTATACTTTTTTGTTGACACAGGCAACTTTATCTGTTTCTTTGCAGCAAAAAATTTCCTGAAGATGAGCTAATAGAACTATTTGGAGAAGGTAGTGGAGATCTTACCAGTGAAAAGTTTCATCCTGGTTGGTTTTTATTACAGCATCATCATGCCACCACATTTGAGGACTTAAAAGCTGGATTGGCATATCTTAAAAGAAAAGTGAATTCTCAGAAGGAGGGTCAGTTATCATTTTTGAAGGTAATTAAATTAATAACAGGAATAACATACATTTATACACTGTTACTCACTCCTTTCTGTAACTTTTCAAGGCCAATGTAGGGTCGGTAATGGAGCAACTAGATACAATAATGTTATTAAAAGAACAATTTGAAACTGATATTAAAAATTATGGTACAGACCCTACTGTGAAATTAGAAAAAGCTATTCAGCAGTCCATGTCAGAGGCTAATAAATTATTTGACGATGTATTAGCAAGAAGAGACAGAGCCGATGCGACAAGAAACGCTCTAGCCGTAACACAGCGATACAAGTTCCTCTTTTGTATGCCAATTAATATAGAAAAGAACATAAAACGAGGCAATTACGATCTCGTAATCAATGATTACGCCAGAGTAAAGAATTTATTCAAAAACACAGAGATCGAAGTATTTAAACAATTGTTACAAGAAATCGACGATAGAGTTGAAATGCTTAAAGTATTTTTGAGAAAGAAGCTAGAAGAAATGCCATTCAGTTTGGAGGAACATAAAAAGATTATTAGAAATCTTGTTAATTTAGAAGCTGAAGGAGATCCAGCTTGGGATGCAATAGGTATTAATTAGAGATTATGGGTTTGGTTTGGTTTACGACGTCTATTTCAGACATAGATAGACAAGTGTATTGAAATGCACGCACGTGTACTCGTTAGTGTTGGGTGTTCGAATAAATCTATTTAAATAGGGAATAACAGATGAAATTTTATTCATTCGCTTCATTGCTCTGCATTTGAAACTAATACAGAATAAGGAATAAATTGATTTTATACGTTATTCGAAATAAATTTTTGTCCAACACTGATATCCGCGTATTTCATACTCGTGTATCTCTATATATAAACAATACGCGTAGGATTTTTTTTTGCCATTTTACATCACTATGAACGAGGAGCGTGCCGTCAGCATTGGAATCTCCAATGCTAGAATGGTGTCTTGCGTTTATTGTTTAAAAAAATTCCCATTGCTACACATAATAGTATTATTGTACGCAGTAAAATGCTGATAATTACATTTTCCAGTATCACACGCGAATTATTTGAAGAAAAGTATCACCGGTTGCGCGCAAGAACATTTGGAAATAGATTATTCGAGTGGTGATGATTTGAACAAAGCAAAATTAATGCAGATCAATAAGCAATTGAAATCGAACAAAAACGATGGATCTGCTGTTCCGCCGCAAATATCGTGTATCGAAGCAATTTGCGACGTTGTCGTCGAACAGCTGCCAGATTTGTGGAGATTAGGTCAAAGTTATTTCACAGGACAGTTGCACGTTGCCGTGGACGCAGAGAAACAAACGCCCTTCAAAGTAATTTAACGTTTATCAAAAATTTATCTAATAAGGGGAGAATGTGGAAGTCGATCGTTAAAAATTTCCACATCCATAGTCTTCCCCTGTAAGATTAAAATTCTTTAAAGACGGAACGTTTGTTTACGTAATTAATAATTTTAATGCAGAATTTAGTGCTGTCGAGCATGCAGTATGCCATGGAAGCCATGAGGAACACGTGTAGCAATGATTTAGACGCAGTATGGCTTTTGCATATCTTGCGTAGAATCAGACAGATGTATGCTTCATTGATCCATTTGGATTTGCCAAGCGACGCACTAGACATTTTCGGAAAACTTATACTGGATCTGAGGTACGATTTTATTTTTTTGTGATAAATATCATACATCTTTGTTCTACAATAAACGAAGAATTGTTATATAGATTGCAGTGCTTCGCTGCTCTATTTAAACAAACGGCGGAGAACATAGCAGCTTTGTACAAGAAAGAAACTTGGCAGATTGAGTACTTGAACGAAGACGGTGGTGTTACAAGAGTGGTACGTATTTAATTTCGTATGTCAGAATTTTTGCACAGCCATTTGTTGATCGAATATATAATTTCTAATTGTAAACAGCCATATCTGTTCGAGGAAATGACCACGGAAGTTTCAACGCGAGCACGAGACACGGTAGTTGCCTGCGGTCCTCGAGAAGGAGCATTATTCGCTAACCCTGTCCATCAACAGCTATACTATAACTCTATTAAAACGTTGTTTACGTCGTTCGCGCGATGTTTACAACAACTGGCATTTAGTGGTTGCGAGGAAGCTCTAGAGGATGACGAACAGTCGGTATCTCAACTAGTCGGTTCCCCTTCAGGCTATACGAACAAGGGCAATAAACATCAAGGCCCGGTAAGTCTTTCATCACACAGGGTGATCGAAAATTAGTAGTACGAATAGTGGACTTTTTCAGCGAACAGTAAACAAATTCAATTTGTAACATCTTTTGAAGTTGATGCTGTATTTTAGCGTTACTTCTGAATTTGTTATCAGACATGGGAACAATGCCTCTTGATTTCATTAAGTAATATTCGTTATACACTGAACACCATCCTACCAAAAATCGGAGCCTCGGCAAAGGACCTGGATTACCCGAGTTTATCGAATGCGGTCGGATGGAATTCCGATTGGACGCAACTGGAAACATTAGACACTGCCGTGTTGGACGCGTACTTGGAACGTCGTTGCGACCCATTGGTCGGTACGATTGAACCAAGCATGTACCTCGGTGGTTTGGAATGGGATTTTGAAACTGAACCGACTCACGTGAGACCGTACGCACAGGAAATACTGGCGAATTTAATTGCAGTTCATGCAGAAGTATTTAACCATTTATCATTTTATCTTTATAAGCAATCATGTCCAAACGTGATGCTTTTTAACCCCTTGCACTACTCTGAAATTCGGAAGAAGCCGTGCCTAACCCATACGCTCGAATGATCGGAACTTGAAACACGATATGTCGATCGACGGAATATCGATATTTACGAGTTCGACTCGTGATATTCATGTTTTGAGAAAATGTCGATTACAAGTCAGACTCGTGTTATTCACGTTTGACGTGAAATTGAACAACGAGCCTGACTCGTGATATTCAAGTTTGGCTTAAAATTGTCATCACGAGTCAGACTCGTGAAAATAGTGCAAGGGGTTAATGGACTTTTTCGCAGTGATGGAGCTTGAAATACCGAAGTCGATATAAACCTAACCTAACCCAGACCTAATCCTTCAAAATTTTAAAATATCCATTAACTATTAACCATTTATGCCTAAAGTCGTATATCATCAGTTTCGGTATTTTAAGTATTATTACTGCACTACGAGTTCATTAGAAAAGCGAGATCACGCTTTGGTATGTCTCCTTGCTAGTATCGAATTGTAACGAAGCGATCATTATCATGATTTATTTCTTCATAGGTGCGTCGCGTTGCACCAGCTCTGTTGCAACGGGTACTGTCCCATATTGTAGAAACAGTAGCAGAGGAGCTTGCCAGACTTATGTCCTGTGTCACGCAATTTCGACCTGCGGGGATTGTACAAGCACGAACTGACATCATACTTCTACGAAATGCCTTGCAATCTTATAGTACAACTAGAGCCAAGTAATTATCCTCGTTCTAGTCATTCCTGAAACTTCAAATCTTATAATTACAGTATAGATATTCAACGTAACTTTTGATCGATAGAAATTTCTTCGAGGAAGCTTTGGACGCGATACCCCAACCCGTCAGCAAAGAAGATCGAATGCGTATCGATATGCTGCTATCGAAAGTGGCAACGTCCATGCAGTTGCAATTATCGTGTCTTGCCAGTGATACAACAAGTAATACTCCAACAATGGTGGCTGATCCTAATCGCGTTACCACTGTATAACTGTAGTAGTAACTTAAAGAACTAAGTAAGTAATTTATTACGTTGACCGTTGTATTTTTATACCGTTACAATAGCATTCTCTGTATTCCAGTCTCCAAATTCAATTGCTATTGTCTTGGGTAAACTTAACAAATATCGTCCTGAAATGTAAATTTAAATAAAAGCACACGTGACATGCGCGAAATAGAAGTGTTGCTTGTTATTGAAATTGTTGCGGTTAGGATATTAAATAAATGAACCGAAAGGTAAAAGGTTTGATTTAATTATATAAAGAAAATAAAGACCGTGATCATTTCACATTCGAGGCTCTGGAAGGACTGCCGGCGCGTGCCACGCTGCAGCCGCCCGGTAACCATATTTGGAAAACAAAAACCTAACGGGGACTTTCCGTCTGCATGGTTCCCCGATCGATATATCGACGAGAACGTTCCAGCACACACATACATAAGAAAACTATAACGGTCGAGGATAGACATTGTAATATCTCAACAGAAATGTAATGCAATATTTGTACAAAAATATTATATTTGCATTGGGGAATATCATTTGCATGACTCTGCATCTTTTTGGTCGCGCCTTTTCACTAGTTGCAAAATTCCAGTATCTGCGGTTAGTAACACGGTGTCACCTAAAAACGGATTTAAATTACAGTGCAGTCTATTGATTTGGTTTTTTTAAATGATACAATGACGCATCACCTGTTTGAAACATATGCGTAGCTCTCTTGGCGTTAATTATACAAGGCAGTCCATATTCTCTAGCTACCACAGCTCCATGGCTTATAAGTCCACCCAATTCCGTGACTATACCACTCAGTAACGCGAAATACGGGCTCCAAGCTATATCGGTGGCGTAAGTAATTAAAATATCGCCGTTTTGTATCTTTTGTGCATCCGATAAGTCTGTTATCACGCACGCTCTGTTGCGTACAGAACCACCGCACACCGGTGTTCCTTGAACTTTCACAGATTCGTCAGACATTATCATATCTAAATCATCCTAGAATGTGGAAACGCTGGCTTTTAGTATCTAACAAGGGTAGACTACGAATGTGGAAATTGATTTTGAATTGTCATTGAGCAAACATTGCAGTATGCACCTAGTAAAAGAAAACCTTGAAAGGCTTTCATTGAATAGGGCTCAATAATAGCATTACTATTATAAAAACATATGTTGTGCATAAAAAAATAGATTTATCCTTATAACTCTATACAGTACCTTTATTGGAATTGGTATTCCAATATTGAATTCCGAATACTGAAGTTCTCTCAATCGTGGGAAGATCCTTCTTCTATGGAATGCTCTATAAAAATTTGTGAAAACGCATCGCCGATTATGATCGTATCAAGAAATAATAGAGCTCCAAATACCGATATAGTCAATTACTTTTGAACAAACGTTGTGTTACGATGATTCAACAGTTGTCCTATTTCGTCGTTTGTTAAAAAGAATATAAGATCCGCACTGGGTAAATATTCCTCTAGAACCATCAGCTTTCCCAGTCTTATGTATGCCAACCTAAATTTGTGTATGACATTTACGAATATGGCTTTCGTCATTTCTCTACGTACAACAGCATCTCTAAAAAGTGGTACGAGTTTCTTTAAAAGCAACTTAACAATCCATGATTTCGGCGTCTTTAAAGACGCTACCGTTTCTTCCGCATTAAGTGTTTTCTTGGAATTGCTCGTTTCTGACGACGTCATCATCGTCTAATAAACATATTATCATTAATGTTAAATTTACATTTATGGTCAAATTTTTTTTCTATCGCATTTTACTCATTGAGTCACACATTCTGAGACTGTAATTTATGTATATTATTAGATGTACAAATGAATAATCCAATTTTTTCAGCCACATTTAATGTTTATTTTAAAAAAAAGTAAATTGAATTGTTCAATCAAAGTATTTGCCGTTATTTTCTATAACTTTAAGCTATATTTTAGGCAGCTGATGAATGCCATCTCGGAAAAATTTTACATTTTTGGACCCGATAAAGTCGTCAAGTCATTTTCGGATCTCATCCACTGATTGGAAGTACATATCGGATAAGGCGTGTTGCATCGACCGGAACAGGTGATAATCGAATGGAGCAATGTCTGGTGAATACGCCGGGTGCTGCAAGACGTCCCAGCCAAGACTCATTATGGTGTCTTTTGTATGGGAAGCAATATGTGGGCTTGGCGTTGTCATGCAACAATTTCACTGGACGTTCTTCTTTGCCAGTATACGGACGTTTTCGTTCCAATGCTTGACTCAAGCAAATTAATAGTCATTGGTAGCAGTCCGCAGTAACTGTTTCACCCGGGTTTCAACAACTCGTAATAAACCACGCCCTTGGTATCCCACCAAATGCAGAGAAGAACCTTCTTTCCGAAGCAATTGGGTATTGCAACCAATGTTAATGCTTCGCCGGGATTTACCCATGACTTTCTGCGTTTTGGATTGACATAGGGTATCCACTTCTCATCGCCCATAACGATTTTCCACAAGAAAGACTTTCGACGCTTCTTATTGAGATGAAAAAGACATGCTGCCACTCGTTGATTTTTGTTGGTTGCAGTGAGTTTATGCGTAACCCATTTTCCTTCTTTCTGGATCTTTCCCATCTCACGTAGGCGTTTGGAAATCATTTGCTGGGTTACTCCTAACTGCTCTGCAAGTTCTTTTTGCGTTTGTGCCGTATTCTCAGTGAACAGTTGTTCCGAATCATCATTGTCGCACTTCCAAGGGCCTCCAGGGCGTTGTTTGTCGATTAGACTCAAATCACCGTTTTTAAACCGCCTAAACCAAAATGCGCACACATCATACGATACAACACCTTCACCGAGAAAGGAACAAATCCACTTGTTCCAATTTCCCTTGTTGAAATTCGTAAAGAATGCAGTGTCGGATATGCACCTTATCTGTTGCCATTTTCGACTCTACTGAATCGAATACTTTTGAAGGTTATGTTGGGCCTTTCGTTAAACTATCTTTTGTTTTAACTAACTATATGTCAACGCTATATGACCGCAAAAGAGCAGGAAAATCTATTGACTTTAAACTTGATTTTATAACTGCTTAAGATAATTTGGATTATTCATTTGTACACTTAATAATTTTTACAAACATAAAACAGTATATGCACTACTGAGAAATTAAAAATTGGGTAATACAATTTGATTTACCTGAAGCGTGATGATAAGATTCTCGGGCTTAAAGGCCCAGGGCTCGGAGATAAAATCCATTTCTTGGATACACCTATGTCCATGTTTTTTAAGAAGGTTTTCAAATTCTCTTGCTGCTGGCAAACAATTGACTTCCAGCCAATTAATAGCCTCCTTAGGATCCAATTCTCGAAATTCCTCATCTTTTTTATCTGTCCTGATGTAATTCACTATTTTCTTAAGCATCGTTAGCACTTCGCCGCTAATGATATCGCTACAAGAGCTTAACAATACTGAAATGTCTAACAAATGATCTGGTACGATATCTTCATAACCACTTGTCAATAGCGACAATGTAAAAATTTGATAAGAAATACTGACTCTTGATGTATGCATATGATATTTCGATACCTGAAAATATCAATGTATATTTCAACAGTTACAAAATTCTACAATATTCGATGATTTACCTCCAAATATACAGGAAAATTATCATTGATCTCATTGTATAAACTATGTGCAGTATGAAAATGTTCAGTGTTCAGAACAAAATTTTGATCAATTTCTTTGGCAGCTTTCTCCACTGCACTATTCTTCATCGCTTCTTTTATCATTCTACAAAGTGATGTAAATTGTTGACGTGGAGTAGCCAAGCTGTTTCTTTCGCAAGCAATTCTATGAATCTCTGGTGTTATTATAACGGTTCCGCTAACAGCTATATCGGCCATTTTGTGCGTAATTGAAATTTCTTTGGTCGGATATTCTAAAAATGTCTACGATCGATACGAATAAATTGTTAATTTTAAATGCGGAACCCCGACCTACTGTATATGAAATTCACGAAGTAACTTACATTGTAATAATTTATGAGGCATTTCATTGCTATTACGTTCATACATCGACGACTGGACGTTGCTTTTACTTCCTTCGCTGATTTATTTAATCCGTATATAATAACTGAAAGCGTTAAAGGTGATATCGGGTATGGAAGCACTTCGCCTACGTTGGAAAAGATAAGCATGTCTATGTCGCTGGGCACACCCATATCCAATTCGTGTTTCAACTCAAACTCCGTCCACGCGTACAATGTGGTGATAGGTCGTGCTTGGAGTAAATAAATCTTTTCATCGATCACTGCCCATTCTATGTCTCGTGCACTGCCGAACAGAGTTTCCAACTTTGCTCCTATGGCGGCTAATCGAAGAACAGTCTCCTCCGAAACACAAACAGCTTTATTCTCTTTGTCGTCTAAATTGATCGTCACCACTCCATCGCTGCTTGCTAACATTTTTTGCTGTTTATTTCCTACTGTTAAACTTTTTACAGTGAACTTGTTGTCCCAACTTTTATGAACGATTATCGTGTCCGGTTCAACCGTTGCCGACACGACAGTCTAGGCGAATCAAAGAAGATACATGTGGTCAGTTTGTCTTTCACGACTAAACGATTGAATGCTAGTATAATCATACCTCTCCCAAACCATAATTAGCCGTGATAACCATGTTTGAGGGATCTCCGGTGGTTGGATGTCTGGTAAACATAACACCAGCAGCATCAGCATTCACCATTTTTTGTACGCAAACTCCCATAGATGCTTTTACAAACGCACCATGTTGTTTCCTAACATCGACAGATATTTATGGTCATTTTATAGGCAATGGTCTAGTTAAAAACATCGAGTTACCTGTATTTGACACTTTGGTATGAAAATAAACTTGCCCAACACATGGCTACATTCTTGATAATATTATCTGCGCCTTGTACACCCAAATACGTTGAATTCTGACCAGCTGCTGAGGTTTCTTCGCTATCTTCGCCAACAGCACTAGATCTTACAGCATATCTGTACAGTTTATCATTATTGTCTTCAGATTCTAATTCTTTCAATGCTTTCAAAATTGCTTCCTTCACTTCCGCTATCATAGGAGTCAATCGAATAGCACGAACGGCTCTGAAACAAAACGGATGATAAATATTATTTACCTGGTAATAAAGTAATAAACAAGTTATAATATTGAGAATCAATATAATTTACACGTCGCAGCATTTTTCCAGATCGCCTTCCTTTTTACCTACACAAACATTCTGAATATCGTCAATTACTTTCTGTAATTCATTGTGCTCGTGTAGTTGCATTTTAAGGGCAAATACTGTTACGCAAAATCCCTTTGGTACAATAACCTACAACAATTATCATACGTTTACATACTTGTAGAAACCAATATCGTGGGTGACGTTCGTGACACTACTTACATCTGCATCATTAATTGAAGTTAAAGTTGCAAGCGAAAATCCTTTCCCACCAACAGTATTTTCGTTTCGACAATTTTCGTCGTTGAAATGTACTACGTAATCGTTGGTTTGTACGCACGTACGAAGTTGTTTCAGAGATGGGAATATTGTATGCGTTTTTGCTTGACATGGCCCATCGTAAGGATAACATAATTGCATCAATCCAACACCTATTAAAACATTTGGCATGTTAACCCTTTACAGGCGAAATAATTCATTTTTACACATTTGTATTTCTTCCGTGAAATTGAAAAAGTTTTGTGTTTAGTAGTAGACACAATACCTGATCTCCCGTTTAACGTCAATTTTACGGTCACAATTTTATTTGCCCAATTACATGGTTGACCATAATATAAAGTTACCGGGTCATCGCGTTTTACAAGAATATTATACTCTTTACCTTCGGCTGAAATTAAATATGTTACTATTAAGTACAGATCTTATTAAATTAGGAGTTTCATATAAACTGTAAGTAACCTGTGAACCACACTTTGTATTCCAAATTCTCCATAAATTTCTCTTGTGTAAAATCAGATAACGCGAGTTCTATATTATCTATCTCACGAATTTCTTCGTTATTATCATTTAACTGACCATACTGTATTCTGCAATGAACATTGTTTAATAGAGTAAGGGAACGTCAATTGTTGTCGTGACTTTACGATTACGATAAACTTTTCGATTTACTGTGGAAAACTATGTTTTGTGCTGCCCGCACTGAGATAATATATTGCTCCATGCGGCATTACACCAAACAGAGTAACAGATTCGTGAAACTCTTGAGACTCGTGCTTTCCCCAGCGATGTTGATGAAGTCCACGCAAATATAAAGTAGAAACAATTCCATTACTATATATCACTTGACCCAACATAGACCCAAACTGATCAAAACCTGAGTACTCTAGTAATTTTCTGCGAAGATTGAAAACATTCTTCAGTTTACATTGCCACTCATAAATATTGGGACATTTAACTAAAACGTTGATTAATCTTTAAATTATTACAACTCCAAGAAAAGAAGACGCCCAATAATGTTTCCAATAACGTTAAACTGAATGTTGGAATACTTATGAGTGACAATGTACATAAATAACAAACTAATTTATAAAAGTAGTTTTATATTTCTACAGTACATCTTGTTCATCCATTTGAGGCTCTTCCATGGTTCAAGAGCTAATGCTTCTGCATGCAATTTCGAACTCCAATCATCTGGCCATTTTAATGGTTCGAAATTTGCAATGAATCTAGATAAAATATTAATTATTCCGTATAACATCTAACGAAAACATTGATTAGTTTTTAACAAAATTGACTAAACATTACTACGAATAGTATGTTTCTTACATGAAGTTAAAGCGAATATGGTCTATATTCTCATTGCTACATTCATCAACTTGATTCAAATTTTTAAGCATACCATTATAGACTATTCTCCAACGTTCCTGAGATTTTAATAATTCAATTTTAAGACCACCTGCAGTCCATTCTTGATTGTGATTACTTATTAATGTGGTATCAGGATATACTGTTGAAACAAAGTTTTTTAAATTATTGTTTACATCATATTAACAATAGGCTAGTAAAAATGATTGATAAATAAAAATTTTAATACCAGGTAAGACATATAATCGACCGTCAGATGTAGCCAGATGTAATGACAATTCTACTGTTTTAAATCCTCTATAAGAGAATTTAATAAATACAGAATTTCCTTTCTGATCAGTGCCATAGAAGAGCATGCTGTTACTACTCTGAATATAAATCAAAATCACGATGATGCATTAAAGAATACATACTACGTTTACTCGTAAAAACTTTATTAAAATTCATTGATCTTAGGGTCAAAAATTTTCAATTTATTTTCTTATTAAAGACAGTTATCGATTTAACTGAACAAATGATACTTACATCTTCATCTTTGATTTCCAAATTTTCTAAAGGATTCTTTCTACAATTATGCAAATTCTTTTGTTTCTTCTTTTTCATATTGATGTAATACTCCGACCACCAAAATTTTAGTAAGAAACGAATGCCTGCAAATAATTTTTATTGTTATAATATGAAGCAACTGGACTTACCTCATTTTCATAACTGAAAAAAAAAAGAAAAAATACTTACTTGAAATTTCGCGTTTCAAACCCAAGCATGATTGATTTTTAATTGCGTTAGCGAACCAAATGTACAATAATAAAAGAAGAATGGAAAATACCACTTGAACGATAAGCAGAATATTATCCATTCTGAAGTAATTGTTTCAAACTTGTACTCGCGCAGATACTTTTAGTTCCGCAAAAACATAATGTTCGATTAATATTTTTATGGACGATGTTACTTGTTATATTTATTATCAAGAATTTATTTATCAGTTAATACCGCAGATAAAACCAAAGAAATATACTTAAATAACTTTAAAGCAATACGATTCGATTGTTCCGTCAATGATACGCTTTTAAATTTTTTAAGTGGTTCTCGTCGGTTTATATAATTGGCCAATGCATGCTTGATGGTATCTTTTGACGACTGGACCAAAATTTAGTTATGCTAGTATTTAATCGCACGTGATACTAGTAATTAAATGCACTGATTACATGAGCGACACGGGCAGTTACTGGAAACGACCTCGACGAAGCTTACGTAATATAATCATACAACTTCGTCTTGGTAATTCCCATCTGTACCGCTCAGGCATCCTAGCATCATAAATGTACGTTTAAAAATCTGAACTTTTGAAATATTACAACTCGTGGATTAGTAAATATCATCTAGGCTACAAGTAAATTGAACATCTGACATAAAATGTTCTTATCTTATCTAGACTACGTACAGTAACTAATTCCATTCGATACTGATTGTAATCGTTATTATCTATAATTAACGCATCAAACACTACTGTTTTATTTACTCGACAAATAATTAATTATCTATTTATATTAATTGTCTGTTTTTTTATTGTAAATATCTTGATGCTTCCAACGAATTACAAACATTATTATTATCAAGGTACTGGAAAATCATTTTAATACTACTCACAAATGCAATGTTTGTAAAAAGAAACAGATGTAAGACAGTCAGAACTCGTTTAATCAACGTTATACAAGTCACTCTGTTTTAATAAATATTCTTGATTTCAGTGATTTCGCGTACCAACAAGTCGATACTTTTCTATCTAATATTAAAATTAGTATAAAAAAAAAAAAACAATTTTATCTCAAGTCTTTCTCGAAAATATAACTAAATAGTAAAAGATTAATTTAAAAACTGTGTAAAAACCGTAACATTTAGGCGTTCTTAACAATATCGTACATTATTTTGGATAGTTATTAAGCGAATTTCAGCAATATCAATTTATCTTACACTGAAGTAAAAATAATTAAAAAAAAGTTGTAGGAATTTATTTCAGTCAGCTTTTTTATTCAAGTCTTTAGACTCGGTAGATTTATCGATAGAGTCAACGTCTTGACGAGATTTATCTACTGGATACAGCCTGCAAACAACGATGTACGTAAAAGATGTAAACATGCGCGATATACAAGCGGAAATATGACTCACCATCTCTGATATAAATAAACAAGAAAAACTGCGTCGTCTCGGAAGCATGCTATTCTATGTGCGGTCGGTACTGTGATTATGAATGCAAATATATCATCGATGAAAGTATTGAATGCTTTGTACATAAATGTTCTCCATGGTAAATGCGCCACGGACTTCAACTTATAATTCACAAATAGTTGAGGCAGCATAAACAGAAATCCGAACGCGTAAACACCTTTCACTAACGAATTTATGCTCCACGAGTACCAGCTGGAATTTTAAATATTGCATGAATAAGTGTCTGTGTATATTCCAATTAAACTAATATAAAACAATCATGTACCTTTTGTGAGATTGATAAAACAAAGAATAAATTGCACCTCCGATAACAAGAGGATATAACAAATAACTTAAATAATACATGCTCTCTGCATCGAATTCTCTTGTCTTAGTTTCAGCTGCAATTTCATTATGATTTTTATTAAATCTAAGTTTCAACACCTTCGTCAGTTTCCATATCTGTTAGGAAAAATAGGAACATAAGTGCAGATTATTATGCAATTACAAATGTACAATTTTTACCTCTATAAGAGATCCAATTCCAGTCGGAATAAGAAGAAGCAAGGAGGAACCTTCGTTTAACAAATCAAGGAAAATGATAGTTTGACTAAATCCCCGCCATATCACTGTCCATTTACTAAGGCCAACAAGATTATCTTTTTTCCTCCAATAACTGATATCGTTTTCAAAGGCGAGTAAATCAAATAGTACCTACGATAATACCGAACACCATAACGTTAAAGTGCATTATAAATTTTGTTCTAACTATTATTCGATTCAAATACTATAGCAGCCTAGTTCAATAAGCTCGAATTACGGATCAAAATGTTTATTAAATTAAAAACGAATATAATCGACTGCTTCGAAACTGTAGTGTACATATACTATTATTCAATTTACATACATGGAGAGTCGAGATAAGGAATGTTCCTGCTAAGATATAAATATTTGTATCCACAAAAATTCCTTTCACTTCATCCGTATCTTTATCGGAAAATCCAAGATTTTTCAAACTTTGCATAGTTGCTTCCACGTGCAGCATCAGTCTTAATCTTCCATACGAAATCGGAGAATATTGTAATGTAATATTAATCGTATTATTCTGAGGCATGACTTTCACTAAATCATGATGTCGAATTTGCAGGAAATCGTCGTTAACGATGGGTAAAAACGTCCTGCCATGCATTATTCTATTATAAAAGATTAAATGGTGTTATATTCTTATTTTGAAAGAATCATTTGCAGAAGCAATAGAAGGATTAATAACATACAGAATTGAGCAAAATGTGATCTGATTAAACCATGTAATTACTATATAATCATAATTGTAAATCATTAAGTAATATTATACCATGTAATTGCCATATAATTACCATGCAACTACTGTGTATGCATAATTAAATTACATCAGATTACATTTTATCCAACTGTAATTGCATACTTGAGATGATTAACAAGCTCCATCGGTACATTATGCACAGGAAGCTTCACGTCATCTGTCATTATTGTGAATGTAACACGTGGCCTAATATGAGTTACTGGATGCACAAAATTTTCTTTCTTCTTCTTCTTCTTTGTATCCTCATCTTTATCGCTCAATAAATTAAAGGCCTCTGCTTCAGGAATTACATGTCTTGTCAGTTTAATGGCAGTATAAGAAGCATACGGATCCTGAAATACAGTTGTGTCAAACGGCAATGACATTCAAATGTAATTTGTTTGAACAAGTTAGTATAAAATTATTAATTATTTTAGTATAAAATACATCATTATAATAGATCGTAAAATACAACTTTTTGGATACTTCAAACATAATTTGTACATGCTTGTTGTATATACCTTTTGTATGTCGACGATGCTCTTATTGTCTTCTCTTTTAGTGTTAGGAACAACAATGACATGAAGGAACAATGTTCCATTGTTTCGAGTTTTGCGTGGAATGTTTAATGTTACAGGACTGAAAGACAATTAATTATTTGAAAATGTAAGAAAATTGAATCGTACTGAGAATCGTTATAGATTTGGTAACATAAAATATGTACTCACATGCTGTTCGCGTGCGTATAATTAAAATCATCGGTTTTATAAACAAAATCAAGCTGTCTATCGATGAGATGCTCGTTGACAGAACTGTAAATCCGCAATTGCAGACGTGGCTTTTCGTTCAAATAGGATGTCAAGCATAATTCGTGCGCTTTGCAAGACGGTGTTACGAACAACAATGTTATATCGTAAATACAATAGGCAATATGAGCTATATATATTTTTGTCAATATCGAGATCAACGACGGACACTGCATCTTTTCTTCTCTTCGTTAAAATTTTGTTAACATTACGGTCTGTGTTTACTATTCAGAAGTATAGTTTGGTGTGCCGTCGTTTCACGATGCGTCGCGGCAAAATTGCGGTTGCTACTGGCTACATGAAATTTCGTTCGTGATGCACGTATTTTAAATTCTCGATTGGTATTGTTGAGTCACAGATGATCCGCAATGCTTCAAATTATTCAGTTTATGGTTGTCCGGCATTAGTCGTTGACATTGCCATTAATACCAGACGGCAAACCGATGCCCAGAAGGAACTGTACATACATATGTGAGTTCCGGCGTTTCAAACAGCTTCGTGGATTCGAGAAAGAAGGCGAATGTAAGCCTTTCCTTCTCGTTTTCGAAACAGCTGATATCCGATTTGCGTTAACCGGCATATAATTTCGAGATTAATATGACAATCTTCCAAGGAGGATAACTTGAGGTTCACATGCTGGAACGAAACTAGGAAAACCTGGCCAAAATCGTGGAATATAAAATCATTAAATATGGCGGTATATTCCTAGAAAACGGACCGTTCACCGATCGGGGTGAATTATACGTCATTCGAATCGCCTAATTCAGTACATTATTAATATGCATTTCATTATTTGCGGAAATTCGTTATTTTTATTTAAACATGTCGAAAAGGTGTAATAAAAAAGTAAGGTTAGGTATATTTTGACAGGTTCACAGGTAGAAACAAGCGACAGTCGTTACTGTGTTCATGTTGTAAATTATAAATGCCAGGAAGTCAAATGCTAATTTGTTAAACATGTATCGAATGAAAGGACCCCGCACAGATCTTATGGAAACTGGCCCCCGGTTAAATTAACTGAACTTTTGATAAGATATAGTTTATGATGTCTTGATGAAAAGTTCCAATGGGCCCAAGCTCGTAAATTGAACAGTTTCCGAGATACGGGGGATCGAAAGTCAATAATAGTGCGCCTTATTCTAGACTACCTCGTTTGAACATATTTGAGTGTAAGAAGCTCTCTTGTACATTGTACATTTATTTGACTCTTTAAAACTCAGTAGTTGTACTGTGGGCTCTTAAATATAATATTTACATACAATATTACAAATATTATATGTTATAAAACAGATTAAAGAATGTGTGGCATGCTTCCAAGTGGTCTCAATTTAATTTGTGTTAGCATCAGTAATGGGATTTTCAAAATTGATGCTGTGATTAATTTTCAAATGGCTTTTGTGATATTTTCTTCGACAAAATGTTAATTCATCAATCTCAACAATCTTCTCTACCCTTCCAATTGCTGTGCAGAAATTATACAACCAATCTACCATTATTTGTCCACTAAAATAAGTTAATTTTAATAATTTTGTTAATTTTAGGACAACTGTAGCTGAGTTAGGTCTGGATTAGGTTAAGAGCCAAGGGCTTGGCCTCCCGGATGGAGAAGGTAGCTGCCGCTCTAGGCCACCTTCTCCCAAATATCGGGGGCCCCGATGTTGGATTCCGCCGTCTCTACGTGGAGGTGGTGCGTTCAATTGCCCTTTACGGGGCCCCGGTTTGGGCCCCGGACCTGGTGGCCAGCCGGCGCAGCACGGAGATGCGCCGCGTCAACCGTCAGCTGGCCATTCGGGTTACTAGAGGGTATCGAACCATCTCCCACGAGGCGGCGACTACTCTGGCGTATCTCCCGCCCTTGGAGCTCCTAGTTTAGAGAAATCAGCTGGTTTTCTGGCGCTCCAGGAGGCTGGGAGACCGCCAGAAGTGAGGAGGTAAGCGGTCGAAGCGACGAGGAGCCATGCCCAGCGGGCCGTTTTGTTCGTGTGGTTCCGCCAACTTCAATCAGTTGACGGAGCCGCACAACGGTCCGTTGGTCACCAACGGTTGGTGCAGTCCTGCCGCATTGGCAGAAGTGGCAGGATAAACCAGGCTGTCCTACAAGATGACACAGGTACTCACCAGGCATGGTTGCTTTGGTGAGTACCTGTGTTAAATCGGGAAGGAGGTGACGACGGTGTACCACCATTGTGGTGATGCCCTGGACACGGCGCAGCACACGCTGGAAGCCTGCCCAGCATGGGCAGATGAGCGCCGTGTCCTGCAGCAGGATGTTGGTCGGAACCTCTCGCTGGCCACCATAGTGGGTAAAATGGTGGTTAGCGAGAGTGCATGGCAAGTTGTGGCCTCCTTCTGCGAGATAGTCATGTCGCAGGAGGTGGCCGCCGAGCGGGGGTGCGAGTGGGCCGCGCATCCCGCTCGAAGAGGGAGGGCGAGGCGACCTTTGCCTCCTGGCCCCCTCCTGTAGCCTTGAGGTCCATGTCCCCCCACCTTCCGCCTTCCTTATTTCTTCCCCTCTCCCCTTCACTATTCTTGGTGGACCTCCAAGATATGGGGAGGCCCGTCAGCGCTCTTCTCCAGCCACCACATCAGTGGTCGTGGAGTCGCCGTGAGGTTGTAGCCGGTAAGAGTCCAGCACTACCCTGAGGCCACTCTATAATTATAATAATAATTAATAATTAATAATTATATAATTAATAATTTCCCCATGTAAAAAAAAAACGGTAAGGAGCCAGCAATATTTAGGACTCTTGCTGCACATATTGTCTATTTAACCTACTCCTGTATAGTATGTGCATAAAAAAATGACTTTTATGCATATATGTTTAACAAATTAGCATCTGTCTACCTGGCATCTATAATTTACACCATGAACACAGTAACGACAGTCATTTGTTTCTACCTGTCAACCTGTCAAAATATACTTAACCTTACGTTTTTACTGCAACTTTACGACAAGTTTAAACAAAGATAATGAATTTCCGCAAATAATGAATGCATATTAATAATATACTGAATTAGACGAGTCGAGTGATATACTATAACTCGCCCCGATCGGTAAACGGTTTGTTTGCTAGGAATGTTCTAATATGGCTTTTAGATCCCATTAAAGTTTCTGTCAACTATCGTTTTTGTAATAATACTACATTGCGGAAAATCAAAACCCACACAAAATTTGAGAAACAGTACTTTACTTAAACCCTCGTTACTATTTACAGAATGAAATTAAACTGTAACACTGTTAATTATAAGAATTAAAACTAAAAGTGGCGAGAGGTACGATTCGATAAACAATCGAATTATTGATCGCTTTGGGTCTAACGAGGAAGCTATATTTATATTAAACTATATGAGAAAGATCGCAGCCATACTCATACTATTTATTATGTAGTTAATAATTAATTAATAATTAATAATTATATTGTACAGTTATGAGTGATACAATTAATCACATACTAATAATGATTCCTAGATGGGTTAATTCGTGTCTGCCTTCTGTGATTCTAATTCATACGCGTCGATTGCAGCAATAAGTTCGGTTTGTGACGGGGAAAAATAAAAGGGGAAACACAGCTGTATTAATAATAATTAATAATATATGAGTGGGTTTATTCACAACCATTACCATAAGACGAATCGGTGATAATTTTTACATTTATTAAACGCTACGATCTATCACAATAAATTCTCTTCCTCGTTCGCGCGAGGCTCGTATAGAAATATGTATGTATATTTGAACAAACACGCACTAACTTCTACTAAAACGTAAATCGTATTCCGTGGGTGTGACGGGTCAGGGAAACGACGCAAAATTTTTTTGCACATTTATAAGATACATCTGTAATTATCGTACGCTGCACGTACATGTACATATATACAAGCTAGAACTGTAGTGCAAAACTTGAATCGAATCTCCATTTTATTTATTCATTTATTTTTTTTTATCATTCTGCTGGATATGTTATAAAGGCGTAAAGCTAGAAACTACGTATTGTATTTGGTCCGATCCTTTTGTTAGTCCGATCCTGTTTCGAAAATATTTCAAGCTGATCGTGTATATGTGCAAGCGATTAGTTTTGGTTTCTATTACCCTATTAGAACCGTGTGTACTCTTTAAACTTTGAACACTGTGAAAAATGTTCAAGCTTGATCTCAAATTAGAAACAGATACGTAAGTACAGATTTACAAATTGAAGTTCATAATACAAGTATATATACTATACAACATACATACGTACGTACATATATACATACACATACATTTACATGTATATACATATATATTATACATGTATACTATTATGTATGTATGTATATATATATATACTATATCTATATGTATGTATATATGTATAGTATTCGGAAGTATTTCTCTGGTGATTCGTAGGAATTCGTTCTTATTAAATAACGCTCGTCTCTTCCCTAATGATCCCTAACTAAAAATTAATGGTTTTATTTGTACTTACTGTTCTAAAAGTTTATCGTTAATAATCGTATCGATAAAGTACATGTCTGTTATTGCACCAACCGATTACTGCAGTCCGAATGAAGACGGCGTCGTCGTCGCTTTCACTTCTAAAACGTTCACTTCTGTCCAATCGCATTCACGGTAGAAAAATATAGGGAACGGCGCTAGTGACGAAACGAAAATTCAGGCATATACGTATTGCGAGTCGCACATCGTGCGCGATGTAAGATATCCGACACGTATTTAGGAATGCGTGCGCGTCTTGTAATTTCGATGTACCGTCAGCTTTCTACGCGAAACTGCACGACCGACAGAGTTTGCTCAGAAACCCCTGAGAACGGATAAAAACGCTTTGTTCGCTTGTTTCGCGTGCGGATCGTTTTCAAAATTAGGAGGAAACCGGCACGGTCCACGGTCTTCTGTCCAATTAAAAACAAACAAAAAAAAAACGCTTAGCACGCGACGAGTAAGTACTACTGCTCCAACAATGAAATTTGTTCGTGCGCTTCACCGTCGGAAATACTGAACGTTTCGATTCTCTTTCCGGACTGGATTATCTGCTTTTGTCATAGCTTCGTGTGCTTGACGCTGTCTGTCCAGTAGTTCTGTATTGTCATCGCCTCTAACGAATTTAGGAACGAGTCGTTATCCAGGCTGTACATTTCTTCGGAATTATCCTGAAACAACAAGCGCGACAGGTGAGCATTGTTTCGGGCGTCGACGCGTTTGGTGTACCGAAGCACATAAGTGTGCTTATATGTATGTACCATCATGATCCGGAGGATCACAAGCATTTAATTTACTTTCTGGCCCTCTCAACGTTCTCCGTATCAACGAGAACGAATACTTGAACGGCTTATTCTTGACTCCGAGTACTATTGCATGCAAGAACGTTTTCTCTTAAGTATTTTCTATTTAGTTTGAGTCTGACTTTTAATACGTCCACTGTCGACGACTTACTTAAAAAATTCTTCAAGATATTTTGAACGAAATGCATAATTTTGATAGATTAATTCACACGCCGACAGCAGCGAACGTGTTAACAAGTTTCTGATACTTACTCGAATAGTGGAATCGTCGATATAACCGGAACTATCGGGATTACTGCATTTATCGCTGTTTAGCGTCTGCGGTGGATTCAGGTATCTGCGTCTGCAACGCAAATTCCTCGTTAGATCTATTATGGGATGACAAGCAGCCAGGCCAGCCAGTTTTACAACGAGCTAATTACCTGTACATAATGAACCCAAGGCTGCCCATTGTGCTGAGCAAAACCACGGCCAGCAGACTGCTTCCGGTAATGGCGGCTATGTCCACCGTGGACCTCGACGAGCCTTCCTGCTTCGAGTTTTCGCTGTTGCTGTCGTTGTAATCTGAGAGATGATCCTCTTGGACCTGATCCCTTTGGAAATCTTTGGGAAACGCGCTCCTCGCTCGGCTCAACCGGGTGGACTCGCTCACACCGACTACGAAATGAGACACTGACGTTACTGAATCGGACAAAAAACTGATCGAGAAAATTCTTTTACTCGAGGGCATTCGCTGTTATTCGTCTCGATTACTCTGTTTGAGTTGTCTATTGATTCGAACGAAATCGACATATTCGAAGTAATAATATCTATAGATAATTCTATTATACATATACATATACATTAGCAATTTATGTTAAATTTGATTAACGTAACGATATATGGTGGTTTTCTGTACGGAGGAATGGTAAGCGAGATAGCAGAAGTTAGGAAAAGGAAAGGAGAAGGGAGCATTTTAGTCTGGGTCTGCTAGTAGACTTATCAATAAGGCAATCCTAGTAGCCGAAATATTGGATGGTCGGTCGAGGAATGTATACAGGGTGTTTGGCCACCTCTAGGAAAAATTTTAATGGGAGATCCTTGAGGCCAAAATAAGACGAAAATCAAGAATATCAATTTCTTGATTGAGGCTTCATTAAAAAGTTATTAAAAAATTAAATTAAAAAATTTCAAATCGTTCTGGAAAAATTATTTTTGGTTGCGGGGCTCAATTACAATCATTTTTGGTGAATACACATACCCCTGAAATCCTACTCACTTTCTAGAAAAAAATTCAGTACGGGCGAAACTTCAAACGTTAATAACTTTTTAACGAAGCCTCCATTAACAAATTAGTATTCTTGATTTTCGTCTTATTTTGGCCTCAAGAATCTCCTATTAAAATTTTTCCCAGTGGTGGCCGAACATCCTGTATGTAGGAACGGAAGATCAATCGAGCGCTTGCGAGAAAGCGGCCCCTCTGGTGGCGAGTACGGGAAGCGTCGTTACAAATACGAATATGTATTTTAGTTAAAAATAAATGTATTTTAATTCAACTGACAATACGACAGACTTCGATAAAAATAGGTACGTAAATCTAGTGTTAATTGCGTATGTCGTTTACCTTCGAGGATCGAGGCAGCAGTGGCGAACATTTGCGGCTCGACGAATTCCTCGTCGATCTCGACGTCGTCGTCGGAACGATTGAATGTTCTGACGCCGGATCCGCCAGCGGACGAAGCCAGTGACGAGGACGCGGACAAGAACGTAGAGGATTTCGTTTTGTTCAGTACCAGCCTGATTCTAGATACCTCTTCCTGAAGGGGCAGCACCGTCAGATCCTCGACTTGGTCCGCGCTTCCGTTTCTGTAACTGTTTTCGTCCACCTTCGTTTCTTGTTCGTACTTCGATCTGCCCGTTTTATTCGTTAGGATCCACGTGATTTTTGTGTCCTTCTTCGTCGGCGGGTTTCGAACCCTGTCCAGGGTGTCTGTCGTCCGTTGAGGAGTCAGGGCTCTTAAAATCTGATCGCTGCTTATCGTGTTGCTGATGTTCCTGCGGAACTCTTCCAAAGTGGGGCTGGTGTTCGTCTCGACGACGTTGCCTTGGATCTCCATCGCTGATGAGACTGTGGTCGTCAACTGTCTATCGAAGGTCAAAGCCGCGTTTGTGGGTGGATGAAGACCGATCGCCTTGGCGACGCGGAAGCTCTGTCGAGGTTCCGGGGTCTCCGTGTCCACGGAGGAGAGTTCGGGCGTCGATTCTGAGCTCAGGTGATCTTGCACCTGGACACGGGGCTCCGCCATGCTCGATGGCACTGGGTTCCCTAAGATCACTGAAAATCGAACAAATTTTTTGCTAAATTGCCAGCAAAGTCGATGTTACAGTTCATACGTTTACTCAGCCGTATGCTTTTTTCTTGTCACACGCACACGCATACACACAAATTCCATATTCGTACAGTCGAATAGAACGCACGGAACGATCGTTAACAAAGTTACAATAGTTTGAGTGCTTTACGAGTTCGCTATGACTCAACGAATGGCCGCAAACGCGCGACAAGAATTCAAGATAAAAGGAACCGAGAACGAGGGGAGAAAAAAAAAAGAAACCGTACAACGAATCATGGATTTCGCGCAGTCTTTCATCTTAGGAAGATGTCCCGTTTACGATTTCACGCGTCCACGTTTCGCGTGAATTTTATCTGGACCGTGAACGACCGAACGAACGCGTGAAAGGCGTGAAAAAGCGCACGAGATGTCCTTGATTCTAGCGACTATTTAGAACGCACCGAGAAATTGAGCGGTAACCCAGAACCAGTGCATCCACCAATGCAGCGTCATCGCGTCATCTGCGTATACCTGCAACAGAACAGACACGTATACACACGTCGAAAATTGTCGATCGGTTTGGTTGCGCAATACAACTATCGCGGAATCGAGCCGTGATTCAAACGATCGCGAACCAACGACGAATGATTCACCGGGCAGATATTGTCTCGATACTTCCTCTGAACCAACGGCAACGTTTTGTCTCCCTGAACAGAGTTTCACGCGTGTCCGTGGTTACGACAGCGGGCCAAGTGAAAATTTCGAAGAAATTTCAATTTTAACTACCCTTACGAAATCAAGTACACACAGTATACATAACACGTATCTCGAACAGATTAAACCCGAGACAGTTTAGCTCTGGAGTTCAGAAATTAACAATATTACTTCTACATGTGTAAATATAATGTATAAATAATATAATATCATTTCTATACCCAGTTCAATGAGAACTGGCAGGAAATATAAACAGAGAAGTTATTTGATCGACGCTGCAGCCGCAGATGAGTGGCTGCTGAACGTCGCTGCTCAGGGACGCTTTGTAGCGGCCCCTCGGAAGGGCCCTCGCAATGATACATTAAATCCAATCGAGATGATTTGATCGCAAGTTAAAAATTATATTGCAGCAAATAATACAACGTTCAGATTTGCGGATGTAAAAAATTTATTCCACGATTCATTAGAACATGTTGTTCAAGTTACTGAACATAAATTTTGGCAATCGGACCATAATGTTGATACATTAACTGAATCATTTACGCAATAGTTAATTTAACCTTTTCAGGGACAATTTTTTTTTGTCTATTTATTATTGACAGTAACTATAATTATAAAAAAAAAACTAAACATCCACATATGTGGCCAAGGGCGTGAAAAGGTTAAATTCTTAATAATATATTAATACTGAGAATGTACGGATCTGGACATTACGTTTCGGCCCTGGTCTGGCCCAGCTGTGTATATCCTGCCAGTTCTCGTTTTACCTAGTATAGATATAACGTCGTTACGATGACATCATACCCGTGCCCGAAATACACGGTTTCTTTACCAACAGGTTGTTTAAGAAATAAATATCGTGTTACAAGTAATGAAATGCAACAAACTAGATATAGCGAAAGAAATACACAGTGTTCGGCTACCCCTGGGAAAAATTTTAATGGGAGATTCTAGAGGCCAAAATAAGACGAAAATCAAGAATACTAATTTGTTGATGGAGGCTTCGTTAAAAAGTTATTAACGTTTAAAGTTCCGCCCGTACTGAATTTTTTTCTCGAAAATGCGCAAAACTTCGAGGTTATGTCTATTCACCAAAAATGATTGTAATTGAACCCCGCAATCGAAAATAATTTTTTCAAAACGATTTAAAATTCTTTTTTTCAGCCGAAAAATTCCACACCTTCTCGAATTTTTTTCTAGAATGTGGGTAGGCTTTCGAGGGTATGTCTATTCACCAAAAATGATTATAATTGTCCCCCGCAACCGAAAATAATTTTTTCAGAACGATTTGAATTTTTTTACTTCGTCGAAAAATTTAATCACCTAATTAGATTTTCGGTAAGGAATTTTTTTCTCGAAAGTGCGTAGGATTTCGGGGGTATGTGTAATGACCAAAAATGATTGTAATTGACCCCCACAACCGAAAATAATATTTTTTAGAACGATTTGAAATTTTTGAATTTAATTGTTAATAACTTTTTAACGAAGCCTCCATCAACAAATTGATATTCTTCATTTTCGTCTTATTTTGGCCTCTGGAATCCCCCATTAAAATTTTTCCCAAGGGTGGCCGAGCACCCTGTTATAGGGATCTACTTGAGGCAGGATTGATTGGTGAGCGATACCCTTGTAAAGCACAAGTCGCCAAATGTGTTTTTCTCTTGAAACATAGCCTCTTGGCAAACAGAACCGTACTTATTGGATTTAGGTTAGATTCATTTTGGTTTCTGGGCCATGAAACTTCGTTTCTCCATACTTTTAACAACAAATTATTCCTCATAATATTAATCTAATCTCCATGTCATTAAACGAAAGACGCTGTATTGAGATGTTTTAACAAGTAATTTAAAATCGGGGTGCTTCAAAAATGGGTATTTTATCTAAGTTCGTACTGTACAAAGATAATGGTGTAAATCGATGGTCTTCGAATATCGAGAGTATTCTCAGACGCGAAAAATTGAAGTAAACGCGTTAACCGATACCTTAAAATTCGGTAAAAAATTATAGGGTATTAAATATCCGGTATCTCTTTTCTTCTCGACGCGTGCGTTCATCTGATATTTCGAGCAATGTATCGGTGACCGCGACAACCTTCGACACTATCGACTAGATTGAATTTCAGCTATTCGCGGCAAAGTGAGTTACGATCGCGAAGGTCAATCTTCCCGGCGAAGAAATATGGAAAGCGAATGAAGCACGAACGGAAGAAACGAGTTTCCGAGATGCGCTTACGCAATGACGCCTTTTGTCATGAGCCACTTTGAGACCATGTGTGTTGTTCAAGAAACACGTTTACGTTGTTGAGGTCGGTTCTCAGGCTCGACAGGAACGCGACCAGATTGTTGCATCTTCCTCTCGGGTTTATTAAGAAAACCGTTAACCACTTCGCGCGCTTTAACACGTTGCATTCCCAGAATGATTTTTTGCTTAAAATTTTAGACTTTTATTTATGGGCGGTACGTAAAAGATACACAGGTGTTCGGCCACCGCTGGGAAAAATTTTAATGAGAGATTCTAGAGCCAAAATAGGACGAAAATTAAGAATATTAATTTCTTGACTGAAGCTTCATTAAAAAGTTATTAAAAAATTAAATTAAAAAATTTCAAATCATTCTGAAAAAATTACTTTCGATTGCGGGGGTCAATTACAATCATTTTTGGTCATTAGACATACCCTCGAAATCCTACGCACTTTCGAGAAAAAAATTCAGTACGGGCGAAACTTCAAACGTTAATAACTTTTTAACGAAATCTCCATCAACAAATTAGTATTCTTGATTTTCGTCTTATTTTGACTTCTAGAATGTCCCATTAAAATTTTTCCCATGGGTGGCCGAACACTCCGTATGTCGTTTATTCTAGATACGTCCCTATGGCTTTTTTTCGTTGTTTATCGTCCGAATACAATTGTGTCCTGCTCTGTTCTGCCGCTAAGCGAAATATCAGAAGTTGCAAATGCTCCTCCTCGCGAGTCGATTTTTCTTTTACTCTAGAAACGAAGTGGAACGATTCGTCGTGGATTAAAGCGTTTATTCCCACGAGTGATGCTCAAAATCTGATTCGCGCCAGCGTTCGAACGTTTGTTTCGCGTCTGTACCGTGAAAGATAAAGCACGTGGAACGCGATCAATGGCAGAAGAGCGTTTTTGGTCTGAAAACGAAGTGGAACGATCAGGGCCGTGACAAGGCAGGAGCAGAAGGGGCGCTTGTCCCTGGGCGTCACGTTATGAAAATTTCTTACTTAAAGAGGTATTTTATTGTAAACCAGTAAAAAAACAAGGGACGTAAGATCAGACAAATTTTGAGAACAGATGATAATTTGTATAAAATTCGTATGGAAAGAAGGCTAGCCTGTGCACTATGTAATGATTTGTATCATCTCTTAATTTTGTTCATTAAATCTGAGACGAAAGGATGTACTTTTAGCGGCCGACGACGTGATTTTCAAATTCGCAGCATTCGATTTTCTTTCAAGGCAGGAATGGCTTCGGTTAATAGGCAAGGAAACGATTTATTTTTCCAACAAATTGAAGACCAGTGAAACTGGAGAACGGTATTCGACGTTGCTGCCCCGGGACGTCAAACATTCGTAAGTCGGCCCTGGGCACGATGTGCAAGGTAGGAAGTTCGACGGACACTTCGTGGAGAAGGATGTTACACTCGCGAGTTACGTTATTTCGCGATTCTCGTCGTCAGCGTCGCTAATGTAATTCTCATTGCGTGTTCGATGTTTACTCCATTATCTGCATGATTTATCGAGATAACGTGTACTTTTTATGTAACTCGTGGCTGTTCGAGATCGATAAGCGAAATTCTTTCGAGCCGACAAGCACAAAACAAGGAATTCCGGAATCAGGGACTGTAACTGTTACGATAAAAAAATAAAACAAAATTGAAGTACAGTGAAAACTCGATAAATGTCCTCAAGAGCTGTTCCATAAATGATACATTTTTATCCCCACCACTAGGGGGATCCCCCTTGAACCAGTGAGGCGAAGTGTAACCGGAGACGTAGCGGCTTTCTTTAAAAATCTTTATTGCCTTCGTCATCTTAGTTTAAATGTCCCTGTCAGTGCGACCACACTACTGTACAAGAAGAATGTTTTTTATTTTTTACTTTTTTTTAATAAAAATTTTACTATCATGTGGGGAAGATTTTTCTAATTAAAATGAGACTAAACACGATATAAATCGGCCAATATTTGTTACCATAATATTGAATTAAATATTGTGTACTCGTATCTTCGCAAGGTCAGTGGATAGGTACATTTATCGAACAGTGGTAGCTAACGAAACCCCCTATTTCATAAGTGTTGCAGTTTTTGATCACTTACGAAACGGTGGAACCGTTCCGTTTGAAAATAGCTACCTCCCGTTCGATAAATGTAGCCAGCACCTCGATGCGTCGTTCTTTGATATTTCCGAACATAGAAAAGGACAGCACAAGAAGGATAAATAAAGAGAGAAAGACTCGCAAGTACAATATTTAATTCAATATTATGCTACCAAATATTGACCGATTTATATCGTGTTTAGCCTCATTTTAATCAGAGAAATCTCCCCAACATGATAGTGAAATTTTTATTAACAAAAAGTAAAAAATAAAAAACTTTCTTTTGTGCAGTAGTGTGGTCACACTGACGCGGATATTTAAACTGGGGCGATAAATCCGAGTTTCAGTCAATCTTTCTTCTTTAGCTACTGACTCTTTCTACGTTCGAAGCGTCGGCAAACTACAATCAAATTCGAAAGACGATTCTCCTATTCCGTAAGTGTTGCTGACCGGACCCGGAGAAGCGACATTTATCGAGTTTTCAC